CTGAAACAGGCTCCAGGCTCTGAGCTGGCAGTCAGCACAGAGCCCGACGCGGGGCTCGAACCCACGAACCGCGAGATCATGACCTAAGCGAAAGTCGGACGCTTAACCGACTAAGCCACCCAGGCGCCCCTCTAGATAATAGTTTTAAATATTAGTTTGTTTTCTCCTCAGAACCTTCAAATATATACATCTTCGATATTTGTCTTTTTTTCCATAACAACACTCAACCTTTGGTCATTTGTAATTTTTTCATTTTTTTTCTTTCAAGTTTATTTATTTTAAAGAGAGAAAGACAGAGCACGTTAGTGGAGGGTGGAACAGAGGCAGAAGAGAGGGAGAGAGAATTCCAAGCAGGCTCTGTACCACCAGCACAGAGCACAACGTGGGGCTCGAACCCATGAACCATGAGAACATGACTTGAGCCAAAGTCATGAGCTGGACCCCTAACCACCTGAGCCACCCAGGCACCCCGTACCCTTTTTTTAAAAAAAATTTGTTTTCAATCATTTCTTTCCATTTTAAATTTTTATTCAAATCCACTCTTCCTTGTAACTTAGTTTTTATATTTGATATGATTTTGTCATTTTCTCTCCTGGGTTTAATCCGAGTTGTTGTCGGTTTATAGGAAGAATTTTTCTCAGATGAAATGTGTAAATATGCTGCTTAAAAATTTCTTAAATAGCTTTATATGGAATTGGTTTGAATTTTTTATTTTGTTATTTAATTGACATAGTTCCTAAATCCGAAACATTGTCCACTAGTGATGTCAATCAATGAGATGAGGTTTCTCCAATGATAATGATGTTAGTGGTCATAGAGTAGAGAGGGGATTGTCGTCTTTTCTTTTTGCAAGATTCTGAATTTTCCCCTTTATTTTCTTCTTCTCTACTACCCAAGAATGCTGAAAATTGGGTCATATCTAGCTTTACTTGCATTTATTGTTAATTGTATGTTTTGGATCATAGGGCATACCATTATCCTCCAGACCCAAAGTCTATATATACATTTTAAAAAGTTATTATTTAACTGGTAGCAAGAATTATGTTCATATTTAATACATAAAAATAATATTACTACAGAAAAATAATTTTCTTTTCCATTTTAGTTATTTTATGTGGCCTTTTACCTGTCTCTTATTACCTAATTTATTCTAAATGAGTACTTAGAAAACATATGCAATCATGGTCATTGATTAAAAATTTATATGCCACCTATTATTCAGTTGAATTTTTTTTTCTTTTGGTTTGGCGGGGATAGGAGAGGGTGAAGTCTTTTTTTTTTTTTTTTTTTTTTTAAATTTTTTTTTAATGTTTTATTTATTTCTAGGAGAGAGAGAGAGACAGCGTGAGCAGGGGAGGGTCAGAGAGAGAGGGAGTCACAGACTGAAACATGCTCCAGGCTCTGAGCTGGCAGTCAGCACAGAGCCCGACGCGGGGCTCGAACCCACGAACCGCGAGGTCATGACCCAAGCGAAAGTCGGACGCTTAACCGACTAAGCCACCCAGGCGCCCCTAACCTTTGGTTTTTAAAAGAAAACAATGGTCCCAGCAGAAACAGAACAAAATATAATAATTGAAGGTGGCCATATCTACCATTTAAAGTATTTTGTGATTAAAGTAAAATTACCAATATTGGTAGGGCCAGACTTTGGTTTACAGAAGAATGAATTTTTTTTTTTTTTTTTTAAGAATGAATTTTTTTTAATGTTTATTTTTGCGAGAGAGAGAGAGAGAGAGAAAGTGAAGTGGGCTCTGTGCTGAGAGCTGAGAGCCCCCTGCGGGGCTCGAACTCATAGTCTGTGAGATCAGTACCTGAGCCAAAGCTGGATGCCTAACTGACTGAGCCGCCCAGGTGCCCCTACAGAATGAATTTATTTTAAATGTTATTGGAAGTATTAAGTGGTTTGGGGGAAAAAAAACCTGCAGTTGTTTAGAGTGAAATGTAACATGAAAATGAAGAGTCTTAAAGTCACCTTATCTTTATTATTTGTAATTCTTTGCATTTCCTTAAAAATACGGGTATTTCCACATCATGGGAGATTAGATTTATTTATAACTTAAAAGCAGCACTGTATAAAGAGAAAAAACTCTGGACTTTTCCCATTTGTAATGATACTGAATTAGATGTTCTAAAAGTCTATTTCATATCAAAGATTTTGTGATCTTTAAAAATCATGCTTTTTAAATTATTTCTACATATTTAATTTGCAGATGATGGCAATCCAGTGAAATCCTAGCAGCAGTTTATCAATATAGACAAGACTGTTTTTTTCTATAGTAGAATGTGTCCCAGGTCTGTGTCTATCTCTAGGCTCCATTACTTCATGCAGCTGTCAGAGTGAGGTGCTCTGATCTCTTCAAATCATGGTTCATGCAAGTATCAGCAGACTGGTTACTGAGATAGATAGAGATGATTATTACCCCTGTTGGATAGATAAAACAGATTGCCTTGTCCTTGAATGTTAGACCAGGAGTGGTCTAAGGATAGAATGGCATCTCCTTTTTACATGAGTGTTATAGGTCTTTCACAGTCTGTCTTCCAGTTACCTTTCTAATGTTATGTTTTATCACTTTTCAAATGCTTTCAGAATTCTGTTAAATTCAAAATTTCCCCTCCACCATTGGTGGATTCATCCCATCCTTTTGTTTATTTTGTGTATTTCCTTATCACCTTTCCCTTCCTTGGGAATCCCCACTTCATTTCATCCCTACCTCCATCTTAATTCTGTCCAAAATCTTAGCTGCAACCCTGCTTAAATGTGCTCTCTGAATGAAGTCTTCTGGTTCCATATCAGAAATGATTACTGCCTCCACAATGACCTTAGGCAGTACTCTGTATATACTTTTTTTCTTTTTTCCAGTTTCATGTTTTGATATCCCTCATAGTGTTCTTTTTCTCACAAGGGTTTATGCTAAGCAATAGGGTATAAGTGATTCACGTTTGTGTCCCCTGTAGTGCTTATCACACAATGCCGTATATGGAGTGAGGTTCAATAAACGATTATGAAATTATTGAGGAAACGGAACTCCAAAGAAGGGAAGTGACTTGCCTATAGTCACAGAGCTAGTTAATGGCTGCATTTGGGTTGAAAGGTATTGCTGGTGTCTTCAAAAAAATAAATGCTGAGGATAGGGAAAATCTGTTACTTTCTGGCCCCGGTGAGCAGATACTTTTGCCAATTAACACAAAAACAAACAATATAAAGAATGCTAATGTTGTCTTATGCCACTAAAAACAAGTTCATCTTCAGCTTGTAGCTGTAGGAATGAGGAATCATCCATTGGATTTGCCCGTGCAGTTCACAGCCAGTGCTTGCGCCCTCAACTTAACACGCCAGGGCCTGGCCAGGGGGATGCCTGTTCGTCTGTTGTCAGAGGTCACCTGTCTGCTTTTCAAGGCTCTGAAAAATTTCCCCCATTACCAGCAGGTAATTTGAATTGAATACTTGACTGTGCTTCTTACTTCAGGACTAATACATGAAAAAATTATTAGTGTTATTATTAGTTTTAGCATTATTTTGTTTTAATTTTTCATTCTACCTGAAAGAATGAGAGAGAGAATAGATAAGGAATTTATATTTGTTAGAAAAAAATAGCACATTTGGATAAGCGATTGAGTTTAAATTTTTTAAATTTCTCAGAAACTGGTTACCCAGAAGCCCATGTACTATTAACACTTCAGTACATCCTTATAGGCTTCACATCATATGTAAAAGTTAACTTGAATTGAATCATAGATCTAAATATAAAAGCTAAAGCCATAAAACTTCTAGAAGAAAACATAGGAGAAAATGTTTGTGATCTTGAAGTAGGCAGTTTTCTTAGGATACAAAAAGCACATATCATGAAAGAAAAATAATAAATTTAGAATTCATCAAAACTAAAGCTTTTCACACACATACACAAATTGAAAAGGGTAGGCTGTGGGCTTGGAAAAATGTTTATTTTGTATATATGATAAAGGACTTTTATAGAAAATATAAAAAATTATTAATAACACAAGATAAACTAATCTTTAAAAAATTTTTATTTTAATGTTTTATTTATTTCTGAGAGAGAGAGCATGAGCAGGGGAGGGTCAGAGAGAGAGGGAGACACAGAATCTGAAACAGACTCCAGGCTCCGAGCCAGCTGTCAGCACAGAGCCCGACGCTGGGCTCAAACCCACGAACCATGAGATCATGACCTGAGCCGAAGTCAGACACTTAACTGACTGAGCCACCCAGGTGCCCCAAGAGAAACCAATTTTTTAAAAAGGCAAAAGATTTGAACACTTTACCAAAGAAGACTTGCAGATGACAAATGAGTATGTGAAAGGATGCTCAGTGTGTTTAGTCATTAAAGCCACACCGAGAGACCACTGCATACCTAGTACTACTATGCACCCTCTAGATTGGTTGAAACTAAAAGTGTGGGCAGGGGTGTGGAGCAACTGGAATTCTCATATATTGATGTTAAGAATATAAATGATGCAACTACCAGTTCAACTGTCTGCTTGCTTCTTTCAAAGTTAGACATAATCCTTCTACACTACCTAGTCATTCCACTCCTAGAGAAATGAAATCATCTATTCATACAAAGACTTCTACATGAACACTCATATTTATTTGATAATATATCTCCTAAAACTGAAAACTTTTCAGTTGTTCAGCATCAGGTAAATAGATAAATTGTGGTATATTTATACAAAAAAATACTACTTTGCAATAAAAAGGAATAAAGTACTCATGTGCAATATGGATGAATCTCAAAAACAGTATATGCTGACCAAAATAAGCCAGACACAGAAAAGTAGGTACCATATGTTTCCATTTATGTGAAACTTAAGAATAAGATTAATCTGTTATGACAGTGTAATTTCTGGGGTTGAAGTTTGTGAGGTTGAGATTGACTGGAAGGTGGTGCAGTGCAACTCTTTGGGGTGATGGAAATATTTTTTTATCTTAACTGTGGTGATGGTGGATGGTAGAAGTTACACAGCTGTATCAATTTGTCAAATCTAATTGAAGCCTGTACTTAAAATGGACATTTTAAAAAATACAGTAAGGGAGGTGGTCTTTCCTCATTAAAAAAAAAAAAAAAAATCTATTTCTGCTTTCTGTTGAGAAGTTGGAAGCACCTTGACAGTTTAGTGTTAATTCCTACATGGAAATCATCAGTTGGAGTAAGAACTGCCGCTGTAAAAGGGCATGAATTCCCTAGTTTGCCATAATTCCTACCACTGCTCTGCTGTGTCACACTCACCCCATTTCACTTATTACTGGCCAGTTCCTGTTGGCATTTCAGGCTTGCTGACCCTGCGTCATACACTGTACTTCAGTCATACTGGCCTACTCACGGCTTTTCAAAGAAATGGTATATTTTTCTATTTCTACAGCTTTCCCAAGAGGCTTTCTCTTTATTTCCTATCTCTAAAGGCCCTGTTTTTATCCCTACTGGTCTTAGGTAGCAGGTATAGTTCTATCTCATAGTTATGAGAGATCTGGTAAGGACATTTGTAGATGGGCCAGGCTTTAGATAATTGATTTAGACTGATGCATAGGCAAGCCATTGGACTTTAGGGGAAGAGACCCCACTTTGTCAGAAAAAGAAGGTTGGGGGAGGATTGATTGTTCTTTAGGTAGAGGTAAATGTGACCGAGTAAGATTAAATGAAGAACTTGAGGTACACAGAGCCACGTGCAAAGTGAACTCAGTAAGAAAAGCTCATTGGTAGCAACTTCTAAATGCCTAGAATCTTTGTTTAGAATGGAGTGTATGCCTTTGCTCAAAATTATTTTTCTTTGTTCTCTTAAAGTTACAGAAGAATTGTCTTCTCTCCTTAACCAATTCCAGGATTCTTGTGGATGTTCCATTTGACAGGCAAGTATAAAACTTGGGCACCTGATTTTGGGGTGTTGACTGGTGTTACTCTGAACATTGTTGGCTTTTGGTTATTAGCTTATTAGCTTTGGATTTTTTTGATCAGTTTGATTAAGACTGGGCCAAGATGTGTGAGGACAGTATTCTGTTGAGCCTCTTCCACAGAAGTGATTGGAGTACCCTACAGATGACCCTGGAAAAATACAGAGATAAGGGACACTGACACATAGCACACACATTCCCCCCAGTCAAAATGCATGTATAACTTTTGACTCAACCAGAATTTAAGTACTAGTTTTAAAAAAGAAAAAAAACATAAATAGAAAACACAATACATTATAGTACTAGACTGTATTTTATTGATACCAAAAGTTTATATTATCTACTTAAAAGGTGAATCTTCTGTCAGTACTTACATCAATATCCTCTTCTACAAAACACTGTAGATGTTTTATGTATTGCAGTAGACATCAAAAATGAAAAGATAATGTGGGGTATCTGGCTGTCTGAATGTGACTCAATCACAGGGTCATTGAGTTCAAGCCCTATGTTGGCAGAAGAGTTTACTTAGGAAGGAAGGGAAGAAGGAAAGATTATGTGAAAAATATTGCATGTATACTCATGCATTGATAATGAAGAAGCAGCAATATGATTGCTTTATGGTAGTATAGTATAATCAATGAATTGCTTCATGGTAACCTAGCCTTACACTAATGAATGAATTGCTATAAAATTTTCATGGCATAGAGCAAAACAGTCATATTTATTATACAGTATTGGAAACATTGTTACTTTAAGGAAAAGAAACTACTTGCCTCTGATAATAGGGTTATGCAGTTTCTCCAGTTATGGCAGAGGCATACTATATGGTAACATAATTCTTGGAAAACAAAGTTACAGAACGATAAGAAAACTAACATGTTTTTAATTTTATATTAAATATTGCTTACCTTATGTCCTGTAAAGATAGGCTGTCCACGTCCATGCAGGTCTTGCATGTGATGTTGTACATTATCAATACTTAGACGATAATAAGGACACAGAAACCTGTCATACAATTCTTGCTATAAAGTTACTAGATGTTCACATGAAGATGAATACACAACAGGGATGTTTGTTAACTGTAGGCATGATGATTGTTTACTGCTCATTTAGTGGAAGTGGATCATCATAAAGGTCTTCATCCTCATTGTATTCATGTTGACTAGGCTGAGGAGGAGGAGGAGAGGTTAGTCTTGCTGTCTTGGCTGTGAAAGAGGTGGAGGACATGGAAGGGGAGGCAGACACACTTGGTGTAACTTTAAAGAAATACATCATAATTTCTCTCTGACTTTGATTTTTCATTTCTCTAAAGATGTTTCTATAAAGTACCAATCCTTCTTCCACCATTTGCTTTAGTTTCATTGCCTGTATTATAGAAGTGTCCACCTTATAAAATAAGTCAAAAGCAGTCTTGAATCATCAGGATCTTTCTGCCCGATTGTCTAGTGTCAATTTATTATCTGGCACTGCTTTTTTTTTTTTTTTTTTTTTAATGTTTATTTATTTTTGAGAGAGAGAGAGACAGACCGGGGGAGGGGGAGGGGCAGAGAGAGAGGGAGACACAGAATCCGAAGCAGGCTCCAGGCTTCGAGCTTTCAGCACAGAGCCGGACACGGGGCTTGAATGCACGAATAGTGAGGTCATGACCTGAGCCAAAGTCTGACACTTAACTGACTGAGCCACCCATGCACCTCTAGCACTTCTTTTTTATATCTTCTTCCTTGCTGTCCAGCACTGGTTTGGAAGCACTCATCTCTATCAAATCGACATCTATTAATTCCTCTGGTATTGTGTCTATTAACTCTTGAATTTCTCCAAGATCTGTATCTTGAAACTTCACCCCCACTTACTTTTGGCCATATCTACGATCCCTCATGATTTCCTTGATTGGCTGTTGTAAATCCTGTGAAGTTATACAGAGCAAATGGATACAGTTTTCTCCAGCAGAAATTTACTGTCTCAGCCTTGATGGCTTTTATGGCTTTTCCTGTAACAATAGTGGCATCTTTGATGGTGTAATTCTTCCAGATTTTCATGGTGTTCTATTGAGATTCTCTTCCAAAATGTTGAAAGTCATGCCATAAAGTACTGTGTGATGAGCCTTAAAGGCCCTGTCACCCCCTGATCTAGAGGCTGAATTAGAGACCCTGTGTTTGGGGGCAAATAGACTACTTAAGTGCCTTCATTGTTGAACTCATGGAGTTCTAGACGGCCAGGGGCATTATCCAGTATGAAAAGGATTTAAAAACTTTTTTTTTTTTTAATGTTTATTTATTTTTTGAGAGAGAGAGAGAGAGACAGACAGTGCAAGTGGGGTAGGGACAGAGAGAGGGAGACCCAGAATCTGAAACAGGCTCCAGGCTCTGAGCTGTCAGCACAAGAGCCCAACATGGAGCATGATCCCACAAACCGTGAGATCATGACCTGAGCCAAAGTTGGATGCTCAACCAACTGAGCCACCCAGGTGCCCCAATATGAAAAGGATTTTAAAGGCAGTCCTTCATTGGCAAGATAATTCCTGACTTCAGGCATAAGTATGGAACCAATCCATAAAATGGGTTCTTGTCCAGGCCTTCTTGTTGTCCAACCAAAAGACTAGCAGCCTATGTTTATCTTTTCTTTTCAAGTCTTGGAGGTTAGTAGCTTTATGGATAAGAGCAGTTCTTACATAAAATTGACTGCATTTGCACAAAACAGTAAGTAGAGTTAACCTATCCCTTCCTGCATTAAGTCAAATCTCTCTCTAAAAAGTAAAACATCCTTTGCTAGCATTAAATTTTGTAGTTTTAGGGTCACCTGGCTCAGTCAGAAGAACATGTGGCTCTTCCCCCCACCCCCAAGTTTATTTATTTATTTATTTATTATGAGAGAGCCAGAACACACACGTGCCAGTAGAGAGGGGCCAGAGAGAGAGCCAGTGCAGAGCCTGATGTGGAGCTCAAACTCATAAGCGATGAGATCATGACCTGAGCTGAAGTCAGGAGTCGGATGCTCAACAGACTAAGCCACTGAGGTGCCCCAGAAGAAAATGCAACTCTTTTTTTTTTTTTTTAATGTTTTATTTATTTCTGAGAGAGAGACAGTGTGAGCAAGGGAGGGTCAGAGAGACAGGGAGACAGAATCTGAAACAGGCTCCAGGCTCTGAGCTAGCTGTCAGCACAGAGCCTGATGCGGGGCACGAACTCACGAACCATGAAATCATGACCTGAGCCAAAGTCAGACGCTTTACCGATTGAGCCACCCAGGCGCCCCAAGAACATGCAACTCTTGATCTCAGGGTTGTGAGTTTGAGCCTATTGGTTATAGAAATTACAAAAAAATAAACAAACTTAAAAAATGTTTTGCAGTTTTAGATCCTTTACCTTCCTTTTCCTTTAACTTGGCATGTAATCACTTTTTCTCAAGTTATATTAGAGTTTAGAAGTATGCTTTTCTTACAGCAATCCCTGCCCACATAAAAGCTGCATTTTCAGGGGCGCCTTGGTCGCTCAGTTGGTTAAGCGTCCAACTTTGGCTCAGGTCATGATCTCACGGTTCGTGGGTTCGAGCCCCGTGTTGGGCTCTGTGCTTTGGCTAGCTCAGAGCCTGGAGGCTGTCTTCAGATTCTGTGTCTCCCTCTCTCTCTGACCCTCACCTGCTCACGCTGTGTCTATCTCTCTCTCAAAAATAAATAAAAACATTAAAAAAAATTTTTTTAAACCTGCATTTTCAATAAGATAAAAAGGTGTTTTGCAAAAAGTGCAAGGTTTCATGTCAGCTGGCATAGCTGCAGTGACACCTTCACCAATTTCCTTTTTTTTTTAAACTATGTCTTTATTCTGGATTCATTTATCTGGAAATGATGGGCACCCCAGTTGTTGTCTTCAGTCTATGGTAGATATCAGCCAGTTCAACTTTTTCTTGTAATGGCATGATTTTTCTTTATTTCTAGGGAGTACTTCCAGTATCATTAGTGGCACTTTATATGGGTCCCCTGGTATTATTCAGGGTTTACAGTATTTTACTAAACACAATGAAAAATACATGAGCACTGCAAGAGATTATTTTTTGCTACCATATGCAGTTTACTGGAGAGAAAAACTAATCATGTGGAGTGATTAGTGTTGCAGGGCATTTTAAGTGGATACAGATGCACACACTTAATCTCACTGTAATATTAACAGGAGGTGGCTGTGAAATAATTACAGTAGTTTAGCGTGTAGTACAGTTAATTTTATATAGTTAATACTGTATCAGAGCACCTGGGTGGCTCAGTCGATTGAGCGTCTGACTTTGGCTCAGGTCATGATCTCACAGTTCGTGGGTTCAAGCCCAATGCTGGGCTCTCCGCTGACAGCTCGGAACCTGGAGCCTGCTTCGGATTCTGTGTCTCCCTCTCTCTCTTTCTGCCACTCCCCCACTTGCACTCTGTCCCTCTGTGTCTCAAAAATAAATAAACATTTTTTAAAAATTAAAACTATCTACCTTAGGTTTATTTACATTTTTGTTAACTGAATGTGCTATGTATTGTCTATAAGTGTTTATGTAAGTTTCAATAAATTTTATTAACCTTTTATAGTAGATGTATATACATTTTATGGTAGTAAATAGTAAAAGAAACTTGTCACAAGTGTCTACATATGTTTTGTACATTTACAAATCCCTAACTTTTTCTTAAATTTTTTCATATTTCTAGGCTATGAGGTTTGTTGGTGAGTTTTTTTTTTCAAATTGTTGCAAATCTCCAAAATAGTTTCCAATATATTTATTGAAAAATATCTGTGTGTAAGTGGACCAGAACAGTTCAAACCTGTGTTGTTCCAGGGTCAGCTATGTTTGCAAATGTTGTCTCTCTCTCAAAGTGATTCCAATTCAAGGTCATGAGTGGCAGGAACATGGGCTCCAGAGAGTCAAACATACTTGGATTCAGTTTCTACCTTCCATTATTTTTTCATAAGTTTCCTCATTTGTAAAATAGTGACTCTTACGAGGATTAGACATGAAGATGTTTGTAAAGTACTTCTCAGGGTGCCTAGCTTAAGAACTAGAGCCTGTTGGGGCACCAGCATGGCTCAGTTGGTTGAGCGTCCGACTTCGGCTCAGGTCATGATCTCATGGTTTGTGGGTTCGAGCCCCATGTTGGGCTTTGTGCTGACAGCTAGCTCAGAACCTGGAGCCTGTTTCGGATTCTGTGTCTCCCTCTCTCTCTGACCCTCCCCTGCTCATGCTGTCTCTCTGTCTCTCAGAAATAAATAAAACATTTTTTAAAAATGTTAAAAAAAAAAAAAAAAAAAGTAGAGCCTGTTTAGGGGCGCCTGGGTGACTTAGTCAGTTGAGCACCTGACTCTTGATTTCAGCTCAGGTATAGAGATGCCAGGATCATGGGATCGAGCCCTGCATCAGGCTCTGTGCTGAGCTCAAAGCCTGCTTAAGATTGTCACCCTCTCTTTCTCTTTCCCCTGCCTCTGCTCCTCAACCTGGCTTGTGCTTTCTTTAAAAAAAAAAAAAAAAAAAAAAGTCTGTTCTAAATACAGTACATTCTTTGTTATTATTTTATTGATGATAATTAAGAAAGCCATCATCCTTGACTCCAAAGGACTCCTCTTGAGGCCTTTATAACCTTCCAGTTTCGAGCTCAAAAACATTTATAATAGTTGGTTGCTGTTAACAGAAAAATTAAGCACAGGCTGGAATGAACAAAGCCTGTGGTATGTGGGTGTGGGGTTGTTAGACTAAGCCATTCTTGAATCTAATTGAAATGTGGTGGTACCTGGGTGGGTCAGTTGGTTAATCATCTGACTTTGGCTCAGGTCATGGTCTCATGGTCTTTGAGTTCAAGCCCTGCTTTGGTCTCTGTGCTGACAGCTTGGAGCCTGGAGCCTGCTACTGTTTCTGCCTCTCTCTGCCCCTTCTCTGCTCACTTGCTAGCTCGCTCACTCTCTCTCAAAAATAAATAAATTTTAAAAAAAAAAGGAAATGTGTACTTTAAATGGGAGTTGACTTTTAAAGATACAATAGAGAAGGTGATCTTCCTCATTAAAAAAAATTGATTTCTACCTTCTCTTGAAAGTTAGAAGATCTTTCTCAACTCAGTCTTCGTTCCTATAATTACAGTCAATAGGAACTGCCTCTGTAAAAGGGCATGAATTTTCTTTAGCTTTGTGATTTGTTTGCAGTGGCATTTTAGTACTGTCTACAATTCAGCTTACAAATTACTGCCTGTTGGGGAATTTTCCTTTGTTTTTAGACCCATGAAACTAAAAACTGAATGCTAAAAATAAGTTTTTCTTAGGTCTGCTAATCTTACTTTGTTTTTTTAAATGTTTATTTTGAAGGAGACAGACAGTGTGAGCACGGGAGGGCCAGAGAGAGAGGGAGACAGAATCTGAAGCAGGCTTCTGGCTCTCAGCTGTTAGCACAGAGCCCGACATGGCGCTCAAACTCAACAGCCATGAGATCATCACCTAACCGGGAAGTTGGACGCTTGACTGACTAAGCCACCTAAGCGCCCCTGCTAATCTTACTTTGAATTCTGTGCATTTTGCTTACATTCTTAATTTGCCTACTCTTCTCTTCCTCTTGTGACCTTCTCTTCTTTTTGCCAGATGCTTTTGATTTTCATGGCTGAGGGCTTAGAAGTACAAGATACAGGATTTGTTGGGGAGGTTAAGTGATTTCTTCTCTCCTTATTTACAGTTTAAAACTTTATCGTGAGAAAAATAGTGTTTTTCAGGTTTGATGCTGCCAAGTTTGTTATGAGATGGCTGTGTAAGCATGAGAACCCCAAGATGCAAACAATGGCAGTGAGCATCACCTCTATACTAGCCCTGCAGGTACATATGTGATTGCTAAAGTCCAGATTTCTCTCCTGAGTCTCGATGGAGCTCGGATAGAGCCAGTGTTTTACTTTCAGCTTTTTGTTTTCTTACAGCTCTCATCTGAGCAAACTGCACAGCTTAAGGAAGAGCTCCTCATGGCAGTTAAAGTAAGTTGATTGTCGATTTTATAACCTTTTTTTCCAATAAAAAATTTATGAACATAATTTTAAAAGTTTAATCATTCTAGAAGGCTTAGAAATGAAAAATCTCTAAAGACCTGCTCCCCAAAAGAAACTACTTTCTGTTCTTACTGCCATTCTGGGATTTACCTCACATCTCTAAATAAAGTGCTTTTAACTTGATTTATCATTGTGTGTGTTTTCTAGTGATTCTGCTGCTATAGTAAATAAGAACTTCGCTCTCTCACACGTATCTTTTTTTTTTAACTTTTTTAGTGTTTTTATTTATTTCGAGAGAGAGAAAGAGAGAGAGAGACAGTGCGAGCAGGGGAGGGTCAGAGAGAGGGAGACACAGAATCTGAAGCAGGCTCCACGCTCTGAGCTAGCTGTCAGCACAGAGCCTGACGCAGGGCTCGAACCCACGAACCGTTAGATCATGACCTGAGCTGAAGTCGGATGCTTAACTGACTGAGCCACCCAGGCGCCCCTCAGACATAACTTTAAATAAATTTTTACATTGATTGTTTTAATTAATTAATGTTAGAGAGTGAAGGAGGGAGGAAGCTGCAGAGAGAGAGGGAGAGAGAATCTCAAGCTGACTCTGTGTTGACAGATACATGTATTTTCCGATGTAGGGCTCGATCCCACAAACTATGAAATCATGATCTGAGTCAAAATCAAGAGGTGGACACTTAACTAACTGAGGCACCCAGGTGCCCCTCTCTTACATGTATTTCTATAAATTATCTCCTTTTCCAATAAATTAATATCCTAATTTTTATTCAGTAATCAGTATTTACCTTATGATTATGCTAATATTGCTAACTAAAAAATGTACATCGTTGTTTTATTTTGCATTTGTTTTGAGATGAACCTGCAATACCTTCCTCCCCTGCCTCTCCCCGCCCCAGAACATTTATGTTTCCTGTGAACTATTTATTCATGGCCGTGATCGGTTTCCTTTTTTTTTTTTTTTTTAAATTAATTAATTTATTTTGAGAGAACCAGTGGAGGAGGGGCGGGGGGGGGGAGGGTACAGGATCCGAAGTGGGCTTGTGCTGACAGTGGAGAGCCTGACGTAGAAGTTGAACTCAGGAACCATGAGAAAATGACCCAAGCCACCCAGATGCCCCTGTTTTCCCTTTTGGGTTGCTGACTTTCTTATGATTTAAAAGACTTTGCTGTATATTAAGGAATTGAGCCTTTGACTCTGATGTGAGATGCATATATTTTCCCCATTTGGCTGTTCGGTTATTTTTACTTTATTTATGACATGTTTTGCCATGCAGTAATTTAAAAATGTTTATAGGGTTAAATTTATCATTTTATTTCTCTGGCATTGATGGCACAGTTTGAAAGTATTTCCATACTCCAAAGAGTATCTTTTAAAGATTTCTCTTGATTTTTATCTGTGGTTTCCTTTCTTTTAATATGTAAATCCTTGATTTACTTGAAGCTTTTTTTTTTGTATGATATAAGAGTTGGTGTTTTTTCTCAATATCTGCCTCTGCACCTTCTATTGAATAAATTATCTCTTATCTACTGTTACACATTGCTCCTCTATCATATATTAAATTCCCTTATCTATTTGCATTTGTTTCTGAACTTTGTGCTGTGTTGCGTTAGTTTGTATGTCTGTTTATATGCTGATACCACACTTTTTATTTACTAGTTTTATAAATTCCTTAATAGTTAAGATCTTTTCTTGGGTTTCTATTTATGTATGTATGTATGTATGTATGTATGTATATATGTATCTATCTATCTATCTATCTATCCGTATATTTATTTTTGACAGAGGGGGCAGAGAGTGCAGAGGAAGGGCAGAGAAAGAAGAAGACAGACAATTCGAAGCTGTCAGCATAGAGCTCGATACGGGGCTCAGTCCCATGAACTGTGAGATCATGACCCGAACCAAAACCAAGAGTCAGATACATAACCAACTGAATCACTCAGGTGTCCTTCTTTGTTTTTTTTTTAAAGGTGAATACCTGAATTGACTTTTCTTGTTTTAAAAAAAGCAGTTTTCTTTGGGATTATGTTAAATTTATAGATTTACTTAGAAGAATTGTCATCTTGGGGCACCTGGGTGGCTCAGTCGGTTAAGTGTCCAACTTCGGCTCAGGTCAGGATCTCACAGTTCATGGGTTTGAGCCCCACGTCGGGCTCTGTGCTGATAGCTAGCTCAGAGCCTGGAGCCTATCTTCGGATTCTGTATCTCCCTCTCTCTCTGACCCTCCCCTGCTCATACTCAAAAATAAATAAAAAGCATTTTAAAAAATTAAAAAAGAATTGACATCTCTGCGATACTGATTTTTCCTTCTGAGAACAGGAGATGTTACTCCATTTATCCAGTCTTCTCTGTGCCCCAGATGTATATGGGTGTTGTCTTAATGTTGATATTCTGTATTTCTTAAATTTATTCCTAAAGTTTTTACCTTTGCGTTGCTGTCATAAGTAGAATCTTACAAGTATTTGATGTGTAGTCAGTAGGTTTGGGGGATAGAAGTTAAGAGTGATTTTAGACATGTTGATTTCTACAGTGCTTGAGATGTCACAGAGGCAGTTTGATATGGGGCACAGGTCAGTGGATTGGGTGAGAATAATTTGAGTCCTCAGATCTGATATGGATGTCATCACCTGGAGAGTGTGGAGTACATACAGAGCAAAAAGAAGGACTAGAATAAGTGTGTTAGAAAGTGAAGGGCAAGCTAGGGAAGGATAGCGAGGAGGAGTGTCAAAAATGAGTTAGAAAACCAAGAAAGAGCGATGTCTTAGAATGCAAGAGAATTATATCCAGAAAATTTGAGTAGTCATGTCAGATGCTATTGAGTGGTTGAATGAGATGAACAGAGAGGTGCCAGTAGGATTTGGCAGGATGGAAGTCATTAGTCATCTTGTTTACATATTTCAGTAGAGTAGTGTGACAGAGCCTATTTGGACCACAATGAAGAGCAAATGGGAGGTGCAGCATGGAAGCAACTTTTTGATATACTTTAATGAGAAAAAAAGAGACAGGAAGATACTACATGGGGCCAGCAGTTGCTTTTTTCCAAAATCAATTACATTAGGATGTATTCTATGGCCTTGAAAACATTTCTGAAAAAAAAAGAGAAATTGATGGCAAAGGCAAGACAGAGGGAAGTAATTTGGTGCCAGATCTTTGTGCGTGTGCAGGATTTGTATATAGAGCAGGAGTAAAGTTGTTGGCTTTAGACTAGAACAGAAGGGAGTGCTGGTAGGCTGGTAGCCTTTGTTAGGAAGAACAGCAAGAGTTCATGGAAAACTAGATGAGGTGATCAAATGAGAGGTATAAAAAGATGGTGATGAAAGTCTGAGGACAGAGAGAATGATGAAAAAACAGTGGTCTTGGGAGCAAATTCATTGAGACATCCAGTAGAATTCCCAGATATAGTTGAATGCACTCTCCAAGTGTGCTGGCAGATATTGAAGGTGAGACTCAAGCAGTTTGTTTCAGTATCAAGGGTATAAACTAGGGTGTTTGAGGCAGCAGTCTTGTCAAGATGATGTGATGGAGGTATTGGGAATGGTTAACAGGAATAGACAGATACAGAATAGAGTGAGATAGAGAGCAAGTACTGAAGTAACACCGAGGGAAGAGCAGCCCTGTAGTTCTTGGAGAAACAAGTTAGGTAATGTTACCAAAAATTCAGGCTTTGGGTGAAAACAAGCCATGTTCAGCCACTAGTCAACTGAGACCTTAGATAATTTATCTTCTCTGTGCCTCAGATTCTTCATCTGAAAACTGGCATCATCTGATAAACAGGCATCTGTCATAGGAGTAATATTTTGCAGTTATTTTGAATGTCATTAAGGTAAAAATATATAAAGTGTCTAACCATGGGCCTGGCTGCAGTCGTTATTATTGTCAGAGTCAGCTCACTTTCCCTGCTCCTGCCCTTGCTTTGCTGTCACTCGTCCCATTGGTTGTCTAGATGATTGCCACCAGTGCTGGGTGTCACTCTTACACTTCCCTCTTGGCTCTCACAGCTTTATTTTTGTGGTAAACTCTTTTGATACATTCCCTCCTGATTGGGTAAAATTTTTGAGGTGGTCTCATTCTTCCTGAAAACAAACATACTCTGATTTGTTCAGTGCTATTATATTTTATGTATGTTTTTATTAAGTGGTTAAGTGAAAACAGCTGTCTTTCCCCTCTCTTACAACAGTCTAATCCACTTGCAGGAAAGCCAGAATGCTAGCCTAACTCGTGTCCCAAAATATTCTGATATGAAATGGTGTTTTGAAACCTCTGTTAACATGAGCCAATGATTTCTTTAATCTATTACGACATATGGTTGTAGTACTGGTGTTAACCTCTAGCCATACTGATCTGCTCAAGTGACCTAGAACAGCATACTTTTTCTCTGCCTGGCATACTCCCTCCCCCTCTGTGTCTCCATTCCTTGCTTAACTCATTATACCTCTTTCTTTTCTGGTCTCATTTGTTTCAGTGTACATACTACATTTGATGGAGGCTTCCTTTCCCTACCTTTCTAAAATAAATTCTTAAGGTTTTATGTGTTTCCTTCAGAACGTTTACCAAAACTTAAAATTCTTTTATTTAGTTGAGAAAAACCAACAGTTGGTGTTTTTTTTTAATCTCTCTTACCTGAATTAAGTGCTTGATTTCCAGGAGATGTTGATTAAACATTCCCAAATGAATAATGGAATAGCTAATATGTACTTGATTATGAGTCTTAGTGACAAGGACTAAGAACTAGATTAAGTGCTCATTAAAGTTTAATTTTTTTAAATTTAATCTTCATAAAAACCTTAGGAGTTAGGTGTAACTCGTTATATAGAGAAAGAATGGATCACAGAGCTATTAAGTGGTAGAACAACTATTGCTTTCCTTATATTGTAATTGAATCCGTCACTGGGGCATCTAACTCTTTGTCTCTTTGGTTTTTAGGAACTTCTAACAATAGTAAAACAAAAGACTACTGAAAATTTAGATGATGTCACCCTCTTGTTTACTTTGAAAGCACTTTGGAATCTTACAGATGAGTCTCCAGCTGCTTGCAACCACTTTATAGAAAATCAAGGATTGTCGATCTTCATCCAAGTCTTGGAGGTGGGAAGACAGAATTAGGTTTATATGTAAAGTTCTTTTTTTCACGGTAAAGTAATCTGTATATTCTTTTGACAGACTTTTTCAGAGTCAGCAATACAAAGCAAAGTACTTGGTCTTTGGGTAAGGTGAATCGTTTTCAGTTATTTCTGATTATAAATAAATTAAATAAATAAATAAATAAATAAATAAGAAAACTAACACTTATGTAGCACCTACTATATGCTTGGCACTTTTGTAAGCAATTTCTGTGTATGAACTCATTTAATGTTCACATGATTCCCTGTAAAGTGATACCATATCAGTCCTCTATTGCTGTGAACAAACTACAGCTTAAAACAACAGCCATTTTCATTTGTAGCAATGTGGATGGAACTCGAGGGTGTTATGCTGAGTGAAGTAAGTCAGGCAAAGAAAGACAAGATACCATATGTTTTTACTTATAAGTGGATCAGGAGAAACTTAACGTAGGACCATGGAGGAGGAGAAGGGGACAAAATAGTTGGGGAGACGGAAGGAGGCAAACCATGAGAGACTCTTGAATACTGAGAACAAACTGAGGGCTGATGGGGGTGGCAGAGAGGGGAAGGGGGGTGATGGGCATGGAGGAGGGCACTTGTTGGGATGAGCACTGGGTGTTATATGGAAACCAACTTGACAATAAGCTATGAAAGAAAAAAACCCAGCCATTTTATTTACTTTTGAATCTGTGAGTCAACAGTTTGAACTCAGCTTAGCTGTACAGTTCTTCTTATGGTCTCAATAATTCCGGTGGAGTTATTCATGTTGCTGTAGTCATCTGGTGGCTCAACTAAGGCTAGATGTGCTTAAGATGGCCTAACTCTCACTGAGACAGTTGGTACAGGTTGTTAGTTGGGCCTTGTATCTCTGTAAGTAATTTCTTCTTCTTCTCCTCCTCCCCCTTGCCTTTCTCTTCTCTTCTCCACCCCCTCCCCACACCCCAGGGAGTTCTATGCCCAATGTGGAGCTTGAACTCAAGACCCTAAGATCAAAAGTTGCATGCTCTACTGACTGAGCCAGCCAGGCACCCCTTTCATCATGGACTTGTTTTACTTGGCAGTTTCAGGGTAGCACTAGAAGGTAAGCCCCACTGTGCAAGTGCTTCTTAAGCCTCCTCTAATGTCTCATTGAGTAAAGCACACTAGGTGGCCTGGGGTGTTTCCCAGTAATCACTTCTCCATTTCTCAGTAACAACTGGGTACGCTCCACTTCAGTTCAATTCCTCTCTCACAGTTAATATCAGAAGTTAAAGGGCTCAGGCCTATAAGACTGACCCCACTTCAGTTGCCAGTTGTAAGTCTTGGCCCACGCATACTTCTGACCATCTGGCTATAAATTACGAGTTTCCACGACCCCTTCCTCAGGTTGATAATTTGCTAGAATGGCTCAGAGAACTCTGGAATTCAATTTGCTTGATATTGTCAGTTTTTATAAAGGATACAACTCAGAAACAGTGAATTGTAAGAAATGTATATGGCTAGGAAGGATGGGTACATGTACAGCTTCCATACTCTCTCTGGGCACACCACCCTGCCAGCACCTTGATGTGTTTACTGACTCAGAAGTTCTCTAAACCCTTTGTTTAGGATTTTTTATGGAGGTTTCATCACATGAGCATGATTGATTGTTAGTTCAGTCTTCAGTTCCTTTCCCCGCCTCCAGAGGTTTTAGGGTGGGGCTGAAAGTCTCAGGCTTCTAATTAAGGTTTGGTTTTTCTGGCAACCAGTCCCCATCCTGAAGCTATTTATTTAGGTGCCTGCCAAGTGTTGCCTCATTAGAACAAAGATGCTCTGATTATTCTTATCACTTGAGAAATTCTAAGGGATTTAAGACTTCTCTTTTAAGAACTGGCAACAGAGACCAAATATATACTTATTATTATGTGTCCAAGGTTAAGCCGACATTAATGGTGGACACCCCTTGATGGGAGGAGCAGCAAAGTCACACAGCTAAGTCACACAGGGATAGGAAAAATTGTGTTACGGTCTATTTATCCTGTTACCTAAGTAGTAGGAGGCAGCTCAAATATCAAACTCAAGCAGTTTAGCTCTAGACCCTCTGATAGTAACCACTTTACCATACTTTTTTATCAAGGCAATCAATTAAAAACATTTTTTTAATGTTTTTTTTTTATTTCTGAGAGAGAAACAGCATGATCAGGGGAGGGTTAGAGAAAGAGGGAGACACAGAATTGAAACAGGCTCCAGGCGCTGAGCTAGCTGTCAGCACAGAGCCCGAAGCAGGGCTCGAACCCACAAATCATGAGATTATGACCTGAGCCAAAGTCAGACACTTAACCGACTGAGCCACCCAGGCGCCCACAAGGCAATCAATTTTTTAAAAATTTCTTTGATTATACATTTATACTACCTGTCAGTCATGATATCCATAATTGAGAAATTTCTTTGTTTCCAGAAAGTAAAGGTGAAGATTTACCGAAAGTAATGAAGACATACTGTAAATCCCTACAGTTTGCCATGCATGAAATACATCAAGCTGATGGTCCTTCAGTGTTGGGGAGGGGTTTTAGACAGGTATATAAATAATTTCCTGATTTAAGATGGACTGTGTTAAGTGCTAGAAAAGCACAAAGTCTAGTGGAAGCTTTTGATTCTAGAGCATGCAGTCTGGGACTATGTCTTTACTTTAGCATCCCTAGCACATACAGGACTTAGAACAGAGTAGAGGAGATTAAATGATTAGTATTAGAAATCTGGAAGGTACAAAAAAGTAGAAAGATAGGACAAAAGAAGTAGGAGACAAAGGTCTTATAGCTAGGGAAGATGAGAAAATATAATCATTTAAGGGACACTGTAATAAAGAATATCTTGAATTTTGGCAGAAGGTGGGAAAAGCAATAGGAAATAAGGCCAGAAAGGTGGATTGAAGCCTCATATATGCTATATAAAGCTAAGTATCCTACTACTAGCTAACCTTTCCTAAAAGGTCTTTTACTTTTTTCTGAGTCTCTCAGAATGTGGAGGGTTTTTGAGGTTGCCTCCTTTCCTTCCTTTTTCTGAATGAAGAAGACCCACGTTCTCCTCTAGCTTCCATCTTCTCAACATTTTGTTCATAGACTATTGAAATGAAAAAGATACTAGAAAAGTAGCCTTTGCCAAGCTTATAGGAGAAATTGTGAGATTCATGTCAGGTGTCCTCAGTTATAGTAAGGAGGCTGTCATGTCCCTCCTCTTCTGGGGCTTCCATCTGATCAACTTAATGCTGAAATCCTACTATTGATGAGGATATGTATAGCTAGCTTTGGGAAAAACTGGGGTGAGTCTCAAAATAGTACAGTTTCTGCTGAAATCAATAGGGTATAGCTGGTCTTGTAAAAAAGCTCGGGTAAGCGATCTCAAACAATATAGTTTTCTGCATAGTGCTGTATGATGCTATTTTGAACATACTAGTCTCTAGGTATGCTTTTCTGAAAACTGCTTCACAAGGAACAATAACTGCTATATTCAGTTTGACTATGTGTTTCGCTTCTGTGGTGGACAGACCCTAAGGTGACTCCCAGTTATTCTGATCTCTTCTTGGTGTTCATGTCTTTGTAAAAGCCCTCCTCTCAAATGTTTGACTTGTTTCTAACCAACAGAATATAGCAAAGATGATAGGATATCAGTTCTGTGATTTTGTTATAGTGTTTTTATACAGTAGACCCCTCTCCCTTATCCATAGTTTCAGATAGTCACAGTCTGGAAGCAGGTGATCCTCCTCCTGAGGAATGATCCTAAGGTCAGTAGTAGTAGCCTAATGCTATGTCACGTGCCTATGTCATCCACTCTTTTATCTTGGCATATAGGCATTTTAACATCTCATCACAAGCAGAAGAGTGAGTACAGTGAAAAATAAAATATTTGAGTGAGGGCACCTGGGTGACTCAGTTGGTTAAGCATCTGGCTCTTGATTGTAGTTCAGGTCATGATCTCACAGTTTGTGAGTTTGAGCCCCACATCAGGCTCTGTACTGTCCGTGCAGAACCTGATTGGGATTCTCAGTATGTTGAGAGAGAAACCACATTCATTCATGTAACTTTTTTTTTTTTTGTAGAGAGCAAGAGAGAGCACAAGCAGGTGAAGGGCGGAGAGACAGAATCCCAAGCAGGCTCTGCACCATCAGCGCAAAGCCCAGTGTGGGGCTTGAACTTACAAACTGTGAGATCCTGACCTGAGCCAAAACCAAGAGTTGGACACTTAACCGACTGAGCCACCCAGGTGCTCCTATAACCATATATTGTAATAAAAGTTACATGAGGGGCACCTGGGTGGCTCAGTTGGTTAAGTGTCGGACTCTTGATATCTGCTTAGGTCATGATCTCATGGTTTTGTGAGTTTGAGCCCTGGGTTGGGCTCTGCACTGATATCATGGAGCCTGCTTGGGATTCTCTCTCTCTCTCCCTCTCTTTTTGCCCCTCCCCTGCCCATGCTCTCTCTCTGTTGAAAGATTGTTTATATATATATATATATATATATATAGTTATATATATAGTTATATAGTTTTATATATATATAGTTTTATATATATAGTTATATAGTTTTATATATATAGTTATATAGTTATATATATAGTAATATATATATAGATATATATAGTTATATATATAGTTATATAGTTATATATAGTTATATAGTTATATATATATAGTTATATATAGTTATATAGTTATATATATAGTTATATATAGTTATATATATATAGTTATATATATAGTTATATATATAGTTATATATAAACTATAAACTATATATATAGTTATAATATATATCATATATAGTAATAATCTATTATTTGTTAATCTCTTACTGTGCCTAATTTATACATTAAACTTTATCATACATATGTATGCATAGAAAAAACAGTATCTATAGGATTTGGTACTGTCTGTGGTTTCAGGCATATCCACTGGGGGTCTTAGAACATATCCCGCTCAGATTTAGGGGGACTCTTGTGTTAGTCCTTCTTGCTAGTAGACCTGCTAGAGAGACTCTTCTTCCATGTGTTTGAAAAGCAAGCTGCTAATAAATAAGTGGTTGGAGAAAGAAGGCCCCATAGGAAGTAACTGTGGGCAGCTTCTAGGAGCTAAGGGTGGCCTCCAGCAAGAAAATGAAACCCTTAGTCTTAATGAGTGTTGTCAACAGTCTGTGAGCTTGGAAATAGGTTTCCCTCCAGTGGAGCCCCCAGATGAAAATGCAGCCTAGCCAGCACTTTGATTGTGGCTTTTTGAGACCTCACAGTAGAAGCGCTAGCTAAGCCATGAATGAACTCCTAGCCCACAGAAACTGAGAGAAAAAAATGTGTGTTGTTTTAAGCCACCAAGTTTGTGTTAGTTTGTTAAACAGCATAGAAAATTAAGATATAAAATAAAATACTACCTGCCTTTCACTGTTGCTGTTAAATTTCAAGCTAATGTAACAGATAGTAGGCCCTGAGCAATCTTAAGTATTTGAGTCAGGCCTGGATTTTATTTGAGTTCAACCAGTTATTAGCAGTGTAAACCTGAAAAGTTCTAACTGACAAGTTAAATCTTGCTGAGTGAATTATTTCTTTGTAAAAGCATATTAAAGATTAAATGAGATAAGGCAGAAAAAGGACCTTTTTGTCTGTCTAGTACAGTGCCTGGCACTTAGTAAGTGCTCACTCAGTGATTTGTCATTACTAATATTCTCATCATCAAGGGATGAGATTGTGGGTATTAGGCTATCCTGAGAGGGAGGAGGATGGGGCGAAGTATTCTGACTGTATCTAAACTAAGCAGTAGGAAAAGAAGAGGAACCGTTATCTGATTCTCTCTTCTTTCCTATCCCGGATATTTTCTGCTCCATTTTACCTATAGAACAACATAGCTGAAGTTAGAGAACTCTCTTCCAAGCTGGTGACTGAAGATGTGGTGAAACATATCAGCAGCTTGCTCCATAGCAAAGAAATGGAAGTCAGCTATTTTGCTGCAGGTATCATAGCCCACCTGACATCTGACAAGCAGCCCTGGATGTCCCATGACCTTCAGAGGAGTGCTCTTCTCCAGGATTTGGTACAAGGACCATTCATTCCTCTTTACAAACTCTGTCGTAATCTCTTCTTGCATTAAACTTACTTTTCTAGTTTATAACTATTTTATTCTTATTTTTTTTTTAATGTTTATTTTTCAGAGACAGAGACACACACAGAGTGTGAACAGGGGAGGGTCAGAGAGAAAGGCAGACACAGAATCTGAAGTAGGCTCCAGGCTCTGAGCTGTCAGCACACAGCCTAACACAAGGCTCAAACTCACAGATCATGAGATCATGACCTGAGCCTAAGTCGGATGCTCAATTGGCTGGGCCACCTAGGCACCCCAAGAATTTTAGAAATATGTATTAATTGTAGAAAATGGGAATCATAATAAAAAAAGTATAAAGAAAATATTCTAAATCATACTTAATCCTACCATCCAGTCCTAACTTCTGTTAACACTTTGTTACGTTCCTCCTGATATTTTTCTTTTATAAAAGTTACACATGCAAATAGGTGAATGTGGCTTTAGCAGTTCTCTTTTCCACTTTCAGTGTTTTTTCAAGCTATTTCTTTTGATATTTATCTCCATATCTAAATAACATCTGTGGCTTCTTCTTCACTTTGCAGTTTTAGGCATTATCTGTTTATTCATTTTGCCACTCTGGAAAAAGATTCTTTTTCTCATTTTCCCTATGCATACCCTTTCCTATACTCATAAGTATATATATCTTTTCAGTACATTCAAATACATCCCATCTACTTCAGCTTCTTGAGACTTCTTTCTCAGAACTTTCTAGTTTTTCTTCCATGTGGTCTGCTTATTTGTGTATCTGCTATACTGCTGTCATTCCAGTATATTCCTTACTGTCATCCTGGAGATTTCTCCTTACCTCTCTGGTGTTGGATTCCCTGTTTCCTGGATTGCATGCCTTTCTGGTTTTTTGGTGTACTCCCTCATTCTTTTGGATATTACCTAGTAGCTTTCTCAGAAGAAATGAATGAAATAGAAAATTTCAAACTTTACATGATCTCAGAGTCATGAGATTGAGCCCTATGTCAAGCTCTGCTCCGGGCATCAGGCTCCACGCTGGGCTTGGATTCTGCTTAAGACTCTCTCTTTCCCTTTCCCCTCCCAACCTGCCCACCCCCGTACACTGTCTCTCTGCTCTAAAAAATAAATAAATAAAAAATAAAAAAATCAGACCGTATCTGTTTGAAAAGGCCATTATTTTACCTACACATTTAGTTTGTCACATGGTTGGGTATAGAATTTTAGTTTTGGAATATTTTCCCTTCAGACTTTTTAAGTCATTACTTCTTTGTCTTTGTTTTCTGAGTATCACTGTTGAGAAGCCATTTTCCTTTGTAACCTTTAAGATTTTTGTCCTCAAAAATCGGCTGTAGTGTGCCTAGATATAGGTTTATTTTCATCATTACGTTGGCTACTGATTGCTCTAGAAGCTTGTTTCCTTCAGTTCTGGGAAATTTCTTTCTCCTTCTCTCTTCTTTAGTCCCTCCCTCCCTTCTTTTTTTTTTTTTTTCTTCCTTAGGATGTTGGCCTCCCTGGACTCAATTTTTATTACCTATTTCCCTGTTTGTTATAATAAATATAAATTTAGAGAGAGAGAATGGGAGAGAGAGAGAGACAGACCAGAAGCAGGGGAGGGGCAGAGAGGAGGACACAGAATCCAAAGCAGGCTCCCGGCCCTGAGCTGTGAGTACAGAGCCTGATGCTGGGTTTGAACTCACGTACTGTGAGATTACCTGAGCTGAAGTCAGATGCTTAACCAACTGAGCCACCCAGGTGCCCCTTAATTTTTAAACTTTTTTTTTTTTTTGAGAGAGAGTGTGAACACACAAGCAAGGAAGGGGCAGAGAGAGAGAAAATCCCAAGCAGGCTCCACACTGTCAGTGCAGAACTCAGTGTGGGGCTCGACTTCACAATTTGTTGAGCTCATGACCTGAGCCAAAATCAAGAGCTGGACACTTAACTGACTGAGCCACCCAGGTACCCCTAACATATACTTTTAATATATTAACCTGTTTTTATTGTTTATTTTTTAATATTTATTTTATTTTTGAGAGAGAGAGAGTGTGAACAGGGGAGAGAGACAGAGAGAAGGAGATCCAGAATCAGAAGCAGGCTCCAGGCTCTGAGCTGTCAGCACAGCCCAAATAGGCTTGAACCCACAAACTGTAAGATCATGACCCTAAGCTAAAGTTGGATGCTCAACTGACTGAGCCACCCAGGTTTCTCAATATATTTATTTTTTATAGCTTTTAACATGTCTTTATATATTATGTATACTTAAATATTTATATTTTTTAATTTTCAAGGACTCATTTTTGTTGAGTGCTTATTTTTCATACAATATCTTACTCTTTTCCCATGGCTGTTGTATATATTATCTTTTTAAAGGTAGTAATGATTAGTTTGGTTTTTTTGGTTTGTTTGTTGGTTTTCTTAATTTTCCTCTTCCTTTAAGGTTTCTGTTTTCTGCAAGTTGCTTTTTCCCCTATTTTCTTCCTTTATGTTTCAGATTTTCTTAAAGTATATGGAGATCTTCAGCTGTCCAGTCATATTTAAGAGGGGAGTTATTTGGAAGCTAGGTGCAGATAGGTAGAACTTGTGAACTGTGGTCACTCACCTAGAGTGACCTGTATTAGTCACTGTCGTCATCATTAGATCTTCTGTCCTGAACTGTTGGAATTTTCCTCAATAAGAATTTTCTATTCTCCTGACTGAAAATGATAAGCTTGGTTCCAATGGTCTGAAACCCCACTAGAGGAAGAATGTTGAGTCCACGGGACCCTTAGCATTTATCATTTAGATTTTCATTTCATCCCTGATTTTAACATGGTACTCCAACCCTTAATTGTTCACAAGGTTGGTTGCTCAGTCCAGAAATTTTTGTTATGTGTGGAAAGAAGATCTGGGAATATTAATTCTTGGGTCCTTTCAGTCACTCTTCCTGTTTTAACCCAACTTCTTTTTTTTTTTTAAATAGTTTATTGTCAAGTTGGTTTCCATATAACACCCAGTGCTCATCCCCACAATTGCCCTCCTCCATGCCCATCACCCCCCTTCCCCTCTTCCCTACCCCCATCAGTCCTCAGTTTGCTCTCAGCATTCAAGAGTCTCTCATGGTTTGCCTCCCTCCCTCTCCCCCACTATTTCCCCCCTTCTTCTCCCTCATGGTCCTCTGTTAAGTTCCTCCCAATCCACCTATATGTGCAAACATATGGTATCTGTCCTTTTCTGCCTGACTTATTTCGCTCAGCATAACACCATCAAGTTCCATCCATGTTGCTACACATGGCCAGATTTCATTCTTTTTCATTGCCATGTAGTATTCCACTGTATAGATAAACCACATCTTCTTGATCCATTCATCACTTGATGTACACTTAGGCTCTTTCCATGTTTTGGCTATTTATTTTAACCCCACTTTTGTTCTCACCTCCTGAAGTACTTGTGCCAAATTTTAAGTCTTTTTAGGGGTTCTATTCAAAGTTTTTAATCTCCAGTGCTAGATCTGTTATATCAGTTACCATTTTTCTTCTGCTTTGTTCTTTGTATGGTTGCCTTCTTTTATTTTAAACCATTTCTACTATTTCTGGTCATGGGATTTAGGAAAGGAATGGATGCATGCCAAGTCCTGCATCTTTGTAAACCGAAGCCCCCTTTTATTGTACTGTTTTCCACATGACTTTGCTCCTATTCTACATATATAACAGATATCTGCTTGATACTTTAGCAGGTAGGTATCTTTAATTTGGGTGATCATTCCCATATTTGAAGATTTGTTTTTTTCATATATATGTAATTATAAATGGCATGAAACAGCCTATTAGGACCTTTTAAAAGTTATGGAATACAATACTAGAATCCTGGTTTCTCTTTTTGTATAGTATGAAACCATCCAGAATTGGCCAAGTTCAAGTTGTAAGATGACTGCGTTGGTGACCTACAGGTAATCTCTTGATGGAGCAGTACTCTTCTGAAAGCTTGTCCTCATTGTACTTACTATGTAGAGACCATGGTACAGTGTTAAAACATAGTCAAATAGTCTTATGTTCAAATCCTATTTCTCTGTGATTTTGGGAAAATCACTTATAGAAGACATCTGAGACTTAGTTTTACTCATCTGTAAAATGAGGCTTACTATGTGCAAGATTAAGGATGAAATCACATACTGAACGTAAAGACTGTCTAACATAGAATGCAATTTTCTTAAGCGTTAGCTTCTGATATGTGCTCAACAAATACATTTCTCTCAATGAGGAAATGATCCTGTGGGGAGAAGGTTAAAAATAATTATTGTATCACAGACACTAGCCTGAGTTCTAAAGGAACTTCTTTGTACCTTTTCAGATCCTTCAGGGCATTTTTCCCACTCCTTGGCAACTTCTCTCAACCAGCGGTTCAGCTCTGGGCACTATGGGCAATGTATCATGTCTGCAGTAAAAACCGTATGTATTCAAAACATAATAGTTTTCCAGCTATTTTTCTGTATAAAGGTTAATTAAGTTCAAGATGGAATTTTGACAGTTTGTTCACCTATGTACTGGACTTAATTTTTTCTTAAAAAAAGAAATTGAAAAATGTTTTTATTTAAAAAATGCTACAGAATTATAATATATTTGGGGGCTCAAGCAGTATAGAAAGTGAAAGTTGGCTCCCAGTCTTATCCCCACAGGTAGGTACTATTAATAATTTGATAACTATAACTATCCTCCCAAATACTTCTCTATACACATACTGTAGTTTGTATATACTATATATAAATATCGATTTTTTTTTTTTACAAATAGTTTATTGTCAAATTAGTTTCCACATAACACCTAGTGTTCATCCCCACAAGTGTCCTCCTCTATGCCCATCCCCCCTCCCACCTAAATATGGATATTTTTAAACAGAATGGGCTCATTCTATGCATGCTGTCCTATAGCTTGTTCTTTTCATTCAACAGTTGATCATGAATACTCTTCCTATAGTAACATATACATCTGCTTCTCTGTAATGGTCTGGAGGAGGCTGGAGGACCACGAGTCAGCGGTTGTTTCCCAGCCAGGATAAATGTTTTTACATGTTTGGCTGTTTGGACAATTGGGAACTTAACATTCTTTGCTAAGGATTATTATAAATATTTTTGCTTTAAAATATAGACTATAATTATATAGTAAAAAAGTCAAGGAATAGCTTTTAGAATTAAAAGATTAGCTATTAACAAAAGTATAAAATTCCCCAAATCATTTTAACAAATAATGAAAGCTATATACGAGAAAATTGAGAAATAATGGAGAAACCTGAAGTAATCATGAGACATACTGTAATCCTAGATGGAAAGACTTTTTAAGAGACAGATGTCATATCTTTTCAGCTTATGGTTATGCTACAATTCAAGTGAATGAGTGAGAAGAGGGATCTGAAAATTATTCTATTTCTTTTTTTTTTTTTTTTAATTTTTTTTTTTTTATTTATTTCTAGAGAGAGAGAGTGAGCAGGGGAGGGTCAGAGAGAGAGGGAGTCACAGACTGAAACAGGCTCCAGGCTCTGAGCTGGCAGCACAGAGCCCGACGCGGGGCTCGAACCCACGAACCGTGAGATCATGACCTAAGTGAAAGTCGGACGCTTAACCGACTAAGCCACCCAGGCGCCCCTGAAAATTATTCTAAAGTTAACCTGGCAGAATAAACAAGAAAGAACTGACCAAGAAAAATGGTTTTTAGGAGCTTGCCCTAACGCTTCTCTTTAAATTATAAATAAGTATTGTGAATTGTGTTGGCATATGAACAGCTACAGGCAGATCTGTCAGAATAGCTCTTTGGTTTATGGCAGCTAGAATTTAGTTGAGTGCTTTCTCTGTGCCAGGCAGTATTGCAAGCCATTTATGAGTTCACTCAAATAATCTTCACAACAACAAGAAGAGGGTAACATTATTATTACTCATCTATTACAGATGAGAAAACAAGGCACAGAGAACTTAAGTAACTTGCTAAAGTTAAAATAGCTAACAACTGGCAGAGCTCCAGATTACCACTATTCATTAGACTGTTCAGTATTTCTTCATTCTATAGATATAATAATTTATTTTAACCAGTCTACTTTAAATGGACGTTGTTTCTAGTCTTTTCTATTACAAGCATTAGTTTATTGAATATTAACATATTTATATATATGAATATGGATTAATATACAATGAATAATGACATACACATACTATGTATCTCTATTTATCTATCTATGAATTGAAGATGCACATGTGGGTAATTAAGGCGACAGATGCTAAAACCAGACTGACTACCCAGTTGGTGCTCTGTTCCCAGTCTCTGCCAATTACTAACAGTGGGAACTTGAGCAAGTTCCCTGACCTCACTGTGCCCCAGTCTCCTTATCTGTAAAATGGGGATCAAAATACTTACTTCATAGAGCTATGAGAATTAAGTGGGTTGGGGGCGCCTGGGTGGCTCAGTTGGTTGAGCGTCCAACTTCAGCTCAGGTCATGAACTCGCAGTCCATGAGTTTGAGCCCTCTGTGGGGCTCTGTGCTGACATCTCAGAGCCTGGAACCTGCTTTAGATTCTGTGACTCCCCCTTTCGCTGCCCTTCCCCGACTCACGCTCTATCTCAAAAAAAAAAAATAAAACATTGGAAAAAAATTTTTAAAGAATTAAATGGGTTAATATTGGTTAAGCATTTAAAATGTTGCTAGGCTCATAGTATTAGCATTTGTACATAGCATAGTATTAGTTCACGCATAGAACATAGCATTTGTTAAATGTATCATTTTGCAGGTATATCATTTAATTGTAGAATATTTAGAATTGCAGACTCAAAATATTAGGAACATTGTGAGATTGTTTTTTTTAACGTTTTATTTATTTCTGAGAGAGAGAGAGAGAGAGAGAGAGAGCGTGAGCAGGGGAGGGTTAGAGAGAGAGAGGGAGATACAGAATCTGAAACAGGCTCCAGGCTTTGAGCTGGCTGTCAACACAGAGGCCGACGTGGGGCTCAAACCCACGAACCGTGAGATCATGACCTGAGCCAAAATCGGTCCCCCAACCGACTGAGCCACCCAGGCGCCCCGGAACATTGTGATTTTGATAGGCATTGCTAAACTGTTTACTAGTGAGTTATCAGTTTTCATTCATGTCAGCAATGTATGAGAAGTTGCCATTCTTAGAAAAACATGTTTAATTGAACTTTTTGATCTTTGCCAATTTAAAGTGAAAGTGATGGTCTCACTTAACATTTAAGTGAGGTTAGCCATCTTGTCCATTGATATTCTTTATTCACCTTTTGTCTACTGTTTCTTGGTCTTTTTAATTTTAAGAAACTCTTGGAAATATTTTTTCCGCAGTTTATTGTCTTTGTTGTGTTTCATCAGCCTTTTGTTATACAGCCTCTGGGTTTCAGGTCACAGTTAGTTACACTTTCCAAAATTGATGAAAATTCTCCCCTGTTTAAAGATCTTATTCTTCCCCTATAGTTTTCTTATGGGGTGTCTATCAGAAGTATCTTGTATCTTCTCTCACTTTATCCTCTCCTATCCTTAAAAAAGTAATAATTTCCATACATTGGCCCTTTGTGCTACATTCTTGATAATTGCACATGTTTTTAGATCATTATTTCTCTCTGTGTCTAATTGGCTTTTGGACTGATTAAGAGAATCCTTTTTAGAGTGCATTGTGGACACATTCCCTCAGCAGTTTGTATTTGCTTCTGTCAGGTGCTCTAGAGGTATTCCTGGGATTGAACTAATTTTCATGTTAACTTTTTAGCTCAAGGGTTCCCAGAATATTTAGGTAGTATAAATTCAAATCCTATACCTACCCACTCCTCCTGTATACCTACCTAGAGGCCAAGTGTTTCATTGTCTTATTGCTTCTTTCCTATAGTTCTCTGAAGGACCAGCTTTATGCACTGATACATATTTTATTATTTATAATTGCTTCTAACTTTGGAAGTTAAAATCTAAATTCTTAGATTACTGAAACTGACAGTTCCTTTCTTCCCCAGGAGAGCAGGTAAATTTACATGAGCTTAGGTGCTATCTGCTCTCTGTGTCTGGCTCCTGGACAAGTTCTTTACTTTGTACACATGAGTATACACTTAACCTTTTTTGTTATATTTTATCCAGCATCTAGTGTTAACAGGTTATAATAATAGAAGTTCCTATCTGTTTAGCTAGGATTTTGAGGCATAGAGTTGTCTGGAAATAAGCATACTAAAATAATCATTTATAATTGCACTACACAATCCAAGCATTATTTAAGATTTGATGATTTCTTTTTTTTTCTTTTAATTTTTTTTAATGTTTATTTTTGAGAGAGAGGGAGACACAGAATCCAAAGCCGGCTCCAGTTCCCACCTGTCAGCACAGAGCCCGACGTGGGGCTCAAACGCATAGACGGTGAAATCATGACCTAAGCCAAAGTCAGATGCTTAACTGAGCCACCCAGGTGCCCTTTGACAGATTTCTTTTGAATTAACTAATTTTATCTGTTAATTTCTATGTCAGAGGGCTTAAACCTTGGTACCCTTTCTTCAAAAAAGTGAATTTGGTGACTTGGGAATATTTAAAATGCCAATTTGTCTATCAGTTTTCTTTGTCTGATTTTCTTTCAGCCAGCAAATACTGCAGATTGTTAGTCGAAGAAGAAGGATTGCAGCTTTTATGCGACATACAGGAGCACAGTGAGGCAGACCCCCAAGCACAGAAGATTGCAGCCTCCATTCTAGATGACTTCAGAATGCATTTCATGAATTATCAGAGACCCTCTCTGTGTTGAGTGTCCTCCTCAGCCCCTGGGGTGCTGTCTGTTCCTCGGTGTCAGCCCTTCTGCCTTGTCAGCAGTTCAGTGTTGAAACAAGTTGTCATTGGAGTTTGTGAGTTGGCTGCCTCACTGGCCTTTTGCTGTTGATTTTCTATAGGCTACAAGAAGGCTGGATTTGAACGATAGCCATAATCCTAAATCAAGTTGGAATCATTCTGGGAACACCCCTTCAACACCTTTGAAAAATCAAGCCTGGGACTCTGGGGAGACCGGTGAGCTTGTGTTGGAACAGCTGTGCCAGTTACTTTTCTGAGCCCTGGCTAGTTTCTTAACTCTGGGAGTTTGGGAGAGGAAGGGGAAACAAAAGACCTACAGGGGGACCTTGGTATTTAGGTTAAATTAAACGTTTGAAAGACTATCCTGAATTGTTATTCCTAGTGATGCTACTAGAAAAGAAGTACATGAAAAAGCTTTGCAAAATACATGCTTATAAATGTGTTGTTTGGACAGAGGGGAGGAAAACGAGGGGAAAATTTTTTTAATAAATACCAAAGTACCTCCCACTTGTGGGGTAGAGGGAAGAAAAAAATATATTTTTTACAATTTTGGATATTCTGCCTTTGGCCTTTTTTCTCCAACTTTACACATTAGACTGAACATAACATTCTGTGTAAGCAGGTGCCCTGGTGGAAAATAATGAGACTTGATGACTGTGAGTAGAGTGTTTAGATGATGATTATATGGGCATTGTAAATCTTGATCCCCCCAGGTTTTGATTTAAGTGGGATTGTGACCAAAACTGAGTGGAAGAGGAAAGGCCAGGAAAAAGACTTTGCTCTAGATTTCAAGAGTGCTCTTACCTAGCATGAAGACAAGAGATATAATGGGCTTTTGAGAACCAGCCTCAACTGCAGTATAAACTATCAGAAACTTCTGTTTGTGTCCTTTGCAAGCCTCCTCTAAGGAACAGAGTATGAATTCCTTCCTTATTATTGACAACCAAGGAAATGTGTTTTGCCATTCATTTGTTTAAGTTTTCCAAAGAACAAAACTACTCCTTTTTGATTAGGAGCATATTTTCATACTAGATGTTTGTGCTTTAGCTGGCCAGACTTTTTTTTTTTAAGTTTGTTTGTTTGTTTGTTTGTTTGTTTATTTGAGAGAGGGAGAGAGAATCCCAAGCAGATTCCTTGCTGTCAGTGCAGACCCTGATGTGGGGTTTGAACCCATGAACTGCGAGATCATGACCTGAGCCCATATTAAGGGCTGGTTGCTCAGTACCCCGAGCTGGCCCAACTCTTAACTGGAGTTCAGTGTACCATCTTTTGAAATCAAGCGAGGCTTATCCTTACTCTAAATCATATTCCAAATTCTTGCTCACCAGTGTCTCACTGGGTAAGGGGAATTTGTAATCTGTTTCCTTCCACAGTTCTGAAACAGCACTGTATTTTCTCTTTTCACTCTTTTGCATGATTCTAAAAGGCTGTCTTCAGTTCCTGACCTGGGTTCTAGTATTTTAGGACATTCTGTTACCAGATACTAACTCTTACTAATAGGAGGATGTGTGCTAGTAGCTAGTGCCTGTTGAGGCACCCCTTGAAGTTTTATTCATTCATAATAGTCCTTTGGTGTAGGTAAGTTGTATTCTCCCCATTTAACAGATGAGAAAAAGGAAGTTCAGTAACATTGTTACTTTCCTGAGTAGTTACAGCTAATGCATGGCTCCAGCTAATGTCGTTCATTCTGATTCTAAGGCCTGGGCTCCTCTGTTACTCTTCCTTCCAGGAAATGAGCACAGCCTTGGGCACACTTGTATTTAGCAGCAAATCAACACTGGTCTGTATCTGTGCCCTTGGCTTAGTGTCTCTAGACCTGTCCTCGACTGGGCAGTTGAGTTAAAGAATGATCATAAGGCCACAGCTTAAATGCAGCCTCCTGTTTTCCTACCTTGGTACAGGAGGAGGGCTCTGAGGCTTAGTGTGTGTATATGTTTATCAGCCACCATCATTTCTAAGTGTCATCTTCTTGTTCACCTTCCATCATGCTGTTTCTCTTACCCTTCCTTTCCTTGCCTCAAATGCCTATTGAACCTTCAGGCTTCACTCCAGTGTTACCTGACCATTTCCTGACCCTTTATTCTCTCCTTCAGACTTAACTGCTCCCTTCTCAGTGCTCCTGAAGGCTATGTACTGTAGCCATCAAAGATTGCCTGCCACCCTGTAGGTTATAAAAAGTTTTTACAATGATGATTTCATTTTATTCTCACAAGAGCACTGTACATTAATAATAGCTCACATTTATTGAACATGAGGCATAGCCTTTTTTTTTTTTAAACAGTTTCATTTTACAGATGAAAAAGATGAGGCACACAGTGAATAACTGTGTGAATAACTAGCAGAGCTAGGATCTGCAGTCTGATTCCTGATGCCTGTTCAACCATTACCAGGGTTTCTGTATTATCTCTATTGTATGGTGGAAGAAACTGGAAGGCTCTTACAACCTTTTCCTGTCTCTGGTGAGCACCCAATAACTGAGAGGCAGAGGCCAGGCCTGAGAGTCAATAATATAAAGACCCAGAGTGGTCTATTTTAATCCTTAGTTTACCATTTGAATAGTGAAAGACAGATTCTCCAAAGCTAACTTGACCCCAGTGATTACCTAGCCAGAATGAGGAATAATGAAGGTAGCAGTAGGTGGCATGGTAAATACCTTGGTATCAGATTCCATGCCAGTTGCTTCATATCTATCATTGTCCTTGTGAGGAAACTAAGGCTAGAGAGGTGAAATGATGAGAGCAGTCATATTGCAAATTATCTGTGTGGATCTTGCCCTTGAAGGCTTGCATCTCCCATACTTAAAGTTAAATGGGAGTCATTTGCCGACAAATCTGGGGAGCCGCTTCTCCCTGAAGGCTGCCATGCCCTCTAGCCGGTCCTGGGTGGGGATGTTCTGAAACAACAATACAGATTATTAATTTGAGGGTGGGGGAGCAACAGGGCCAGAGGCCAATAAAGACTTGCTGAAGCTTGCCCAGCCTATGGTAAGGTCAGAGTCCAACTGTTTTCATTGTTTCTGAACTCTGGTGATTGGCCAGGCAAAGGTATGGGCCTCAGTGGTTCCTTGGTCACCTGGGGAAGGCAGCCCACCTCTCTAGCCTCTGTGGCCCATCACGTTAGTCTCTTGCACACTGCTTACATGCCTCCAGGGAGCTGATAGTCTGCAGGAGTCAGTTATGAGGCTGATCAGTAGAGAATGATTAAGTTTTGCAGTAAGAAATCTGGCTTTGGATCCTGGTGTGTAGCCAGTTTACACCAGGTTCTACAAGTCCCCAGACCCCTTGTTTAGGAGTATTTTAGTATTTGTTAACCTGGAGATTAGTATTTTTGACTCCCCAAGGAGTCAAGAGCTAAATAAGTCATCCTTAGATACCCCCCACCCCCCACCCCCCACCACACAACAATTGAAAACACACAGCTCACAGTCTACAACCAAGGCCTTGATATCGCAATGCCAGCCTGGCCTCTACAGAAGCCCCTGGTACAGAGACAGTAGAAGTGGTTCTTTGTCAGTTACCTCTACCTGTGTACTCTGTGACTCTCTGTCCACTAAGTGGGGCAGGATGTACCACCATTAGATGGCTGAGGAAACAGTTCCAGAGAGGCAGTGTGGTTTCCCTAGGACCATACCAGGCTAATTGTGGGAGGGAATGGCACAGAGTTTAACCCTTCAGGGTGGGAGGAACCTACTAAATTGGTCATGTATTACACAAGTCTTCCCATTCTGGCCTGGCCTCTGCTTGCAGGTATGTGTCAACTGATAGTAGTAGTCACGTACCTGGGCATAGCATATCCCTTCAATGGCCATCCCTGATGTGATGTCCACCTGTGAGAAAGAAGTGGTGCCTGGGTCAGCCTGACCTTCTCCCACTCTGTCTGCATGAGGTGCCAGCCCACCTTACTGCCTACACCATTTTCTACTGTTCATGGATTCCTCCAGCAAAGTTTACTGAGGCTTACTATATGCTAGTCCATATGAACAGAGATGAATATGATAAAGAATTCCTTATCTGGAACACCATTTGTAACAGTGATAAAACAATACTGGGACAAAGCAGGGCTATGAGAACAGTGGGGTCGATTGCACTTGGCCTGGGGAGCTGAGGAAGTATGTGGAAGCTGTACATAGCCAGTGTTTCTTCCCATCTGTCTGCCTCTCCACACCTCCTGTCACTCCTGGTAAATGAACTTCACAGGCTTTCAGTTGCCTTGAGGTATAAGGCCCTGGGCCTTTATGGCCAGACCCCTGACAGCTTTCTAGTCTCTACTGCCCAGTGCTTACTGTTAACTACCACTTATGAGCACCATTCTAAGAGAAATACCATGTGTGTATAAATTCATTTACTTTTCAGAGCAAGGGTTATTATCTCTACTATACAACTTAGAAATGGGGCATAGAAAGGTCAAAGTCACAACTATATATGGAGAAGCAGGTCTTTGAACCCAGACAGTCTAGCATCAGAGCCCATGCCCCTAACTTAATGTGCTTTGTAGTCTCACTCCCCCCTTACTGCCATTCTGTCAAGTTATTTATTTATACACCTCTGTGCTCTTGCTCATACTCTTCCCTTTTTTTCCTTTGAACCCTTATCCTACCCAAGGCCCAACTCTACAAAACATTCCCTAATCCAGCAATACCCAGCAGTAGCTGTGTCTGCTTGGTAACCCCCCCACCCTTCCCCCATTTTTAGTAATCTCTACACCCAACGTGAGGATCAAGAGTTGCATACTTTATAGACTGAGCCAGCCAGGTACCCCTGCTTGGATTCCTTAACCTTGTACTAGTGACTGTGTCTGTACCTGCCCTTTTTCCCTACCTTGACGGGAGTGACCATATTTGACTTATCTCTGTGTTCCAGTTCTCAGCTCAGGTCTAGATTTAGTGTGTAATGAATGAGTTGATGAATAAGTTGATGTCTGAGGATGGATTAGTTGCATCCAAGGCATCACACCTTACCAACCACCAGCATAAACCCAGGAACATGTACTGGGAGCCACACAGACCTGCGTCCTTATTATTCATTTGCTCTGTGATCCTAGACCAGTCATTTACCCTTTATGAACCTCAAATTACTTTTCTCTCCAAGGGAAAGAGATGAGGGTAAAATGTAATTCAGAGTATCACCAGGCCAAACTTTCCATTTTGTGGGGGAGGGGGGGAGAACTAAGGCACAAAGAGAGGTCAGACTCCATGTCTGTTAGAAGATCTGGTTCCTGAGTTGTTTCTAGCTGTGCCCAGTTTGCATGAGCCATGAAAGCACTGCTTCCCAGCCATCCCACTGACTTTAGTGGACCCAAGTCCTGACCCAGAGTCTGCTTACCTCCATTCCTCTGTCAATGGCTACTTTGCTCAACCGCACAGCAATGGGTGCCTAGGGAAAAGAAAGGAAAAAAGACTTAGCTGAGAGGATTAATACTGATAGTTGAGGAGGAGATTTGGAATAAAGAGAGAGACCTATCTTCATAGTGGGGCAAGAATCATGCACAGGGAGGCAGGTCTGTGTCAAGTTCCAGCTGTTTTGCTGTAACACTGTTAGTGTTAGTACTACTTCTCAGTTTGATACTCTTACCTATAATGAAGGAAGCCTGACTGATTCCTGACTCTCCCAAGTCTACCTGGGGTTCTTGTCATTTAACTCACCCCCCAGTGTGTATAACATGCTACTATTTACAAGTGTTTTCCCACTTACAGACTTGCCTAATGGTGCTACCCACCCTTCAAGGATGGTGCCATCTTTGAGGTTCAGAGAGGTGAAGCAGTTGGGCATGTTTGTCCAGAGTGTGGTAAAGCATGGATTTGATTCCCAGTCACCTTTATCACTGCTGCTCTGTTCACCTACCCATCCTGGCAAATGCAAGCCTCTCCTGCAAGCAGGTTTCACCCCAGGAAGATGGAAAAAAGGTCAAGATTAGGAACTTGGGCTTTGGGGTCTGACAGGCCTGGGTTGCAATCCCAAGGGGCGGTTTACACAGCCACTGGAAGCAGGTCCATCAGAGCAGCCACCTGCATTTCACTGATCTTGCTTCCAATTAACTTGTGCCACCACAGGCCTGGCACTCCATCCTGGGCCTCACTTCAGGAAAAGAATGTATTTACTCCCTATATTGCTCCTATTACATTATTTGAAGTTTTTGTAAGTACAACTTAATCAGAAAAAGATTTGTAAAGTCTGTTAACATGGAAGCCATAAATGAAAAAGCTAGCTCCATAAACATGAATTACTTTATATTGGGGAAAAATACCATGAATAAAAGGCAAGAGTGGAAAACTAGGAAGATATATTTTGTGATAATTCTGACAGGCAAATGTCCTTGATTTACAAAGAGCTGGTATAATTTTTTAACAAATATTCACAAAGGTACGAAAAGGTAGTTCACAGCAAAGGAAATATGAACACAAAGGTTATTTAGTTTTACTGTTAAAGAAATGCAGCTTAAAACTCTGAGGTGTTCCTTTTCCCCTAAACTAGGTAAGTAGTAAGATGTTGGTGATGCCCACTGTTGGTGAGATTCAGGAAACGGGGATTTGCATACATTACTGATGGACTGAATTGGTACAGTATGTGCAGAATGTTAGATGGATACACATACTCATTGATGTTCCAAGTCCATGTAGGAATTCACCTTACAGATACACTACTCCTAAAAGTACATGAAGATGTTCAGTTCTGCACTCCAGCTATTTTGCAGTAGCAAAAAGCAACAAATGTTTATCATTAGAGTACTAGTTGAATAATGACAGCACATCCATACCATGAATGAAAAGATGTGCAGTTGTTTTAAAAGAATGAGGTTGATAAGTATTTGCTGAAATGGGAAACTCTCCAAAATATTGAGTAAAAAAGTCAAGGGCTATACTAGTATGTATATTGTTACCTCATTTGTGTAAAAGATGTTGGTATGATGTACCTTTGGGGAGAAGGGTCAGGAGAATGGTAAACTTCACTTTTTGTTTTATACTTTTCCATACTGTTTGAATTCTTTACTATGCATAATTTCATGTTTTTTAAATGTCTCTTAGAACTGTATTAGCCTCTGCAAGTGTGTTCCTTGTCTCCTAAACCATCTTAAAGGAATTCAGATTTCTCTAGATATGTGAGTGTGCATTATATATATTCCTATATATACAATGAAAATTTCTGCAAGAGTATGTAAATTAACAGTGGCCGTTTCTGAGGAGGACTTGGGGAATTGAGAGCTGTTTGGGGGACCACCTATCCTGGTTTGCCAGTGACTGAAGGGTTATTGGGACATGGGACTTTACTTTTAACTGAAACAGCCCTGTGTAAACAAGGTCAACTGGGTCACCCTACTCTGGATTTTTTACCTTATGCCCTTATTCTTTTATTTGGTTCCCTAGTCTTGGTGGTTTATCCAAGAAAGAGCAGCCATTTATCACACCATCCTTACATCCACCTGATTCGGGAACCTTATTCTGGGTACCCAGTAACTCGCCTAGAAGTTGAAGATTGGGATTAGTGATTGTAGACTAATTTTTAGTAAGCTGGTGTCTTGGTATACAAAGCTACTTTTTAAAAAATTTCTTTGTAAATGTTTTACTTATTTTTGAGAGAGAGAGAGAGAGACACCGCATGAGTAGGAGAGGGTGAGAGAGAGAGGCAGACACAGAATCTGAAGACAGGCTCCAGGCTCTGAGCTAGGTGTCAGCACAGAGCCCGACGTGGGGCTCGAACCCACGAACCGCGAGATCATGACCTGAGCCCAAGCTGGACGCTCAACCAACTGAGCCACCCAGACGCCCCCAAAGCTACTTTTAAGTAATGAAATATAAGTAATTATATTAGAATACCATTGTTTCAGTATATTCAAATATCTGAAATCTGAATCCTCTTGAGATGAGCTCAAAGACTCTATTATTCAGTTTATGCAAAAAGCAACCCTACAGTCTACATGTCTTACTAGATAGGCCCCCCTCTGTGGAAGTGCAGTGAGCCATGCACTCCCTTGAGTTTTTTTGTGTTAGTTCAGACCTTTGTTTCAGTGCAATAGGAAGCTGGTAGCATTAGAATGGCCCAAATAACATCATCAACCTCCATTTGTACGTAATAAAGAAAAATTAAAGACAAAACAAATGCTTTCTTTTAAACCAACTCACTGTTAATTTTTTAAAGTTGTAGTCCTTACCCTCAAAGAGGGTAACAAGAGGGAGGATTATTTACATTTAAGGGAGACATAGTATTTTTTACAAATAAAATACTTCTTTTTGTGATTAATTCAAATACTTTTACTATTAAAATGATAATATATGGTTAACAGTTTTATAAGCTTATCTTTGTTTTATAAATGTTTGTAAATTTTTGTGTTGGAAATGCATTAGGTATTTAAGTTTTAAAATTTTTGTATATATTCTGCACTCTTTAGAATACCAGTTTTTATATTGTATTTTGTATAGTGCAAAATAAGAGCCCATGTACCAGTATTGTCTTTTTTTTTCTGGTATTATAATCACTTTTTGTGACCTTGATGAGCAAGTCACTTAACCTTTCTGGGTCTGTTATATCATAGATACAACAGGGATAATCAACTCAGCTGGATTGTACTAGTGATTAAGAGACTCTTAAAATACCTAAGGATTGTGTCTGATGGATAGGAAGTGCTCCATATGGGCCAAGTCTTTATAACTAAGTCTTTATAAAACCTAGCTCCGTGCCAAGCTTCTTTAATATGGAAACTCGGGACTTCTCTCTAGGTCCCCTGAGAGTAGTGAGAAGCCAGCGGTGAGAGGCTCTCCAGTTAGATTTTGGCTGTCCTGCTGAAGCCTTTGGGCCTGGCAGCTGGTAGGATTACAACTAGCTGGAGGTGGGGTTTTTTTTTTTTTTTTTTTTACATTTATTTATTTTTGAAAGACAGAGACAGACCGTAAGTGGGAGAGGGGCAGAGACAGAATGAGACACAGAATCCGAAGTAGGCTTCAGGCTTTGAGCTGTCAGCACAGAGCCTGACGCAGAGCTTGAACTCACAAACTGTGAGATCATGATCCGAGCTGAAGTTGGGCACTAGGTACCCCCACCTAGCTGGAGCCTTACCACAGGTCCTACATGATACATGGGAATTTCTCCATGCAGTATGTTTGGAAAGATAAGCTGGTAGTTCTTTGTCTGCTTTAGAATCTTACTTTTTAGTTTTGGGGACATTTTGTGGTAGGACTGTCTGATCTGATAGCTTCTAACCACATGTAGCTGTTAGCATTTGAAATGTGGGAAGTCGAACTAAGAAACTAAATTTTTAATTAGACTTAAGTATAAGTCTTGTTAAGTGGCTCTTGTGTGGCCTCAGGACACACCCCCTGGCCTCCCCACAGGTGTGTACATACACACCCCCTCCCATAGCACAGGCCCTCCTGTGCTAGGCTGCTACCTCACCTGGGGCAGGATCTCCTGAGCCAGTGCTCTTGCCCGATGGTAGGCAGCATTGCCCTCCTCATTCTGGGGAACAGCGTGGTTCACCAGCCCCAGGTCTTGGGCCTGTGTACCACTCAGTCTTCGGCCTGTGAAGATGAGCTCCTTTGCCAGGCCCACCCCCAGACATCGAGGCAGCCTCTGAGTCCCACCTGCCAGGATGGATTAGGGGCGGTAAGTTGACATGGGATGTGGGAACCAAGAGAAGCCCAGTCTGGGAGTCAGCCAAGACTTCTCAGAGGAGCAGATTCTGAGTTAGGATGGAAGGGCAGAGCCTAGAGCACAAGGCAAAAGAGGGAAACGGGGAGTAACTTGGATAGAGTGGGAATGAGTAAGTGGAGAAGGATGGGTGCTGTGGGTAGTTACCTGCTCCTGGGAGGAGCCCTCGGGTGGTCTCAATCAGCCCCATGACAGCTGAGGAAGCTGCTTAAACAGAACAGAGTGAAGCACCCATGGTGTCCTGCAGTACCAATCCCCAGAGAGAAGAGTCATCTGCCCCTAGGCTCTGTTCACTCTCTAGCCAGCCACTTCTGTCATGGGCTGGCCGCAGCAGACCTCTTCAGACTCTGCCTTGGGAAGAGCCCTAGTCTGAAAGTCAGGAGGCCCAGGCCCTCATCCTACCTCCCCAGGCAGTGAAGGTATGCATCCAAGCAAATCTGCTTTCTGAGCCTCATTCATGGGTGGAAAAAATATGGTTACCCTTCTGCCATCATCAGAGAGCTGCTAAGGAGCAAATGAGGTAATGGTGCTTGTAACAAGGAAAAGGTTCTTGGAAGGTACCCAGTGCCTATCTGTGGGTTAATGGATTCTACGTCTCATGGACCCTTAGCTCTGGCCTGGCCTAGAGTATCATGACTCATGCTTACCCCACAGTTGCTCCTTTCAGCTTTTCATCAGCCTGAATATTCCGTTTCGGTACACTTTTCCCGAGATCTACTTCCTCTAAGGAGCTCCCTTGAGTGTCCCAGCCCATAGGCTTCTCCTTAATTCCCTCATAGGCCATCTAACCATGCAGTCTGTCAGGAGGGAATGGCCAATAAATACTCCTGCCTATGAGGGGTTTTATATTAGAGATATAAAACCTCAGCCATCTACCCAAACCTGAAAGGTAGTTGCCCTAAATATAGGCACATGAGAAGCAGAATTGGAGCTATGACCTGACGTGGTATTTTGATACCTTTTCTTTGATATGCATCATGTAGATAAAAGCTACTTCCAGGAGTTACTTTCTAAATGCTACCTGGAGTGCCAGGAGAAAGCAGTGAAGGGAAGAGAGTAGTACCAGATAGCACTCAGACTTTCTGCCTCCAAGAAGGGCACACTAAGCAACAAATCAGTAAGCTTAAAGGCAATCAGTTACCTTTTTTTTATCCCCTCCTCCCACTCTTCAAAGTTCAACTGCTCTAAACAAGTATTACAAACCTTGTACCAGTGAACCAGAGGACAATTTTTCTGCCCAGGTATGTTTGATTAGCTGGGCCAGTGACAAACTGCCCCATGGTTCATTGAGCAAACCATGACAAATTAAGCTGACATGCATAGAACCAGAAAGTTGAACAAGTAATCTTTGTCCCCAGTCTCCCCTCTCTGCACTCTTTTTGTTGATTGTCCTCTCACCAACTGCTGTGGGGTTGGTAGAAGCATTCCTGAGATGAAGGAGGCTGGTTCTGAGGGGTAACAGGTACTACAACAGTCAGTGGCCAGGCTGGGAGGGGAACCAGCTTCCTCTCAAACTTGCTTTGTATCCCTCATGTTACCTTTAGGCCGTTAACTGGAAAGTTCAGAGCAGTGTCTAACTTTGCAGAATCCCCAGACTTACCCTGTTATACTTCTACTTCCCTTCTCACCCTGTCCCACCTCTTCTGCCCAGTACCTGCTACTCGGAGGTCACAGGCCAGGGCAAGTTCCAGGCCTCCACCCAAGGCAAACCCGTCCATAGCTGCAATAGTGGGCGCAGGGAAGGCTGCTGTGGAAATGAAGAAGGGCTCAGTCTGCGAGGCCCGAGCAGGACCAGAGCAGGGACTCAAGGTTGGAGAGGGGCTATCTGGTTGGGACAGAGGGCCTCATGGGTCCTAGGTTTGGAACCTTACCTGGTATCTTAGCCAGGTTATCTTAGAAATTGGTTTTTCTATTGGGGAAAGTTGGGAAATTAGCTGGGTTACTGGGTGGGGAGATGGGCTGAATGATTCCTGCTCAGGCCCACTTTCCTGCTGGCCTCCTCGAGACCAGCCTTTCTGCTCTCCCCCCAAGTTCTGTGTGCCAAGCCCTGTGCTGGGTGCTTAAAACAGAATTGAATAGATACAGGGAAGGCAGACCTGTACACAGGCAGTGATGACCCACGGTAATCAGTGCTCTGATAAAGAAAACTTGAAGAACTTTGAGTAAAAGTTTCAGGTGGCCAAGGAGGGATATTCCAGGCAAAAGGAACAGTAGTTGTCAAAGCCCAAAGGCATGCAGCCTGAAATGTGACTCAACTGGAATAACTGGGCTTGAACCCTGAGGGTAGAATGGTGATAGGGTCAGAATTAGCAGGACACAAAGGCTGAGAGCCAGAGCTCCCTCTGGGAGAAATGCCCTCTGGACCTTCTTGTTACTTTCCTCCTGGTAGAATTCCTTGGGCCATTCCTCCTGGGAGAGCCATCTGTCCACAGAGCTTACAACAGAAACTGTCCTCTCTTTACAGTAGAGGATGGTGGGTGGGATGGGGCTGGGATCAGCAGGGCCCCTGAATGCCCTCCTCCAACCCACTTCAAGACCCTCACCAATCTCATTCATCAGGCCTCGGAGTCGCTGGACAAAGACGCCCACTTCCGCCTCACTCATCTGCTCCCGCTCCTTCAGGTCTGCACCTGCAGATAGTGAGGGGTTGGTGACAGCCCTTGGGAAATGACCTATTACTGAATCCCAGGCTGTTAAAGGATCCAGCAAAGGAGACTTGAGAAACAGGCAGAGAGGAGGGAAAAACATCAGAGGAAGGCATTGGCAAGGAAGCCAGGGAGGAAAGGGCGGGGCGGTGTGTCAAAAAAGGACAGGTGCAACAACAACAAAAATATAAGTTGGGTTTCATTGGAATTAAAAACTTTTGTGCATCAAAGGACACTATCAAGAGTGAAAAGACACCCCACGGAATGAAGAATATACTAGTAAATTACATATCTGATAAGGCATTAATATCTAGGATACATAAGGAACTCCTAGAATTCAACAACAAAAACCACAAAGGACTTAAATAGACATTTCTTCCAAGAAGATATATACAGATGGGCATTAAGCACAAGAAAGATGTTCAACATCATTAGGCATTAGGGGAATGTAAATCAAATCCACAATGAGGAACTAACTTTACCTTAGGATGATTATTATTAAAAAAACCCACAGAAACAGAAAGCAAGTGTTGGCATAGATGTGGAGAACCCTGCATTGCTGGTGGGAATGTGAAATGACGTGGCTGCTGTGGAGAACATGTTGGCAGTTCCTCAAAAAGTTATTCATAGAATTACTATATGACCTCGCAGTTCTACCCTTAAAAGATTTAAAAGCAGACTCAGAGACTTGCATACCAGTTTTCATAACAGCATTATTCACAATAGCCAAAAGGTGTAAACAACCCAGGGCCCATCAAGATAGATAAAACACAGTATAAATACAATGGGATATGATTCAGCCATAAAAAGGAATGAAGTTCAGACACGCTACACTATTGGTGGACCTTGAGGATATTATGCTAAGTAAAAAAAGTCAGATACAAAAGGACAAATGTATGATTCCACTTGTGTGAGGTATCTAGAATAGGCAAACTCAGAGATAGAAAGTAAAACAGAGATTATCAGGGGCCAGTGTGGGAAGGAGGAAGAGAGAGGGATTGACAGAATTTGGGATGATGAAAAATTTTTGGAATTGGACGGTGGTGATACTTGCATGGCCATGTGAATGTACTCAGTGTCACTTTATTTTATACTTAAAAATGGTTAAAATATAAAGTCTGTGTAAAATATTTATTTACCACAATTTTAAATATATACAATAATACTTAAAATGTATTATTTCTTGGGACGCCTAGGTGGCTCAGTCAGTGGGCATCCAACTTCGGTTCAAGTCATAATCTCATGGTTCATGGGTTCAAGCCCCACATCAGGCTCCATACTGATAGTATGTGAGCCTGCTTCGGATTCTCTCTCTTCTCCTTCTCTCTGTGCCCCTCCCCCACCCATGCTTTTTTCTCTTTCTAAATAAATAAATAAATAAATAACAAAAAAAAACATTAAAAGTGTACTATTTCTTCCCAGTTTTATTGAGAAATAATTGACATTGATTTTTTAAGGTTTATTTATTTTGAGAGAGAGTACAGGAGAGCGGGGAAGGGGCAAAGAGAAAAGGAGAGAGAGAATCCCAAGCAGACTCTGTGCTGTCAGCCCAGAGCCCAATGTGGGACTCAGTTCCACAACCCTAAGATCATAACCCAAGCTGAAATCAAGAGTCGGACGCTTAACCAACTGAGCCACCCAGGAGCCCCGATATATTACTTTGTAATAAGAGGGGGTCAGTGTAGTCCAAGGAGACTATGCAGTCAAGATGAGAGAACTGACAAGAGGTGCAGGATACAGTGGGATGGAAGTGGGCAAGGACTTTGGTGAGAGTAGTATCACGGTGGAGTCATCAAGGGCTAGATGGCAGGGGCCTGAGGTGGCAGTAGGGAATGAATATATTTTCTTCATGTCTGAAACTATAGAATTCAGAGCTGAGAGCCCTTGCATGTCTTTGATTAGTTCCAGCCCCTCAAAGGCAGATGGAGAAACCGAGGCCAGAGAGGGTTAGGGACTATCCCAGGATTCCAGAGCAAGTCAGGGACAGATCCAGACCTCCTGCAGCACCCCCCCCCCATTTCCCTGTGCTTAGCTAGGATAGTGGGGCTCCTGGGACCTTGATAGAGAAGGTCAGACAGGGGAGAGTGAGGCCCTCATCCAGGGCAGCTGGGGCAGGCAGACCTGCATACTTGTCCTGCCAGGGAAGACCCCAAAATGGCCACTGCGATCCCAACAGCTCAGACCTAGAGACTGAGCCATATCACCTTGAAATTCCATGTTCTCCCATCCTACCCATCCATGGCCTCTTCTCGCCTCCCCAGTGACTCCTGCTATCCCTTCCCCAGTCACCCTAGAGTGGGTTCTTAGTTCAGCTCAGTGTATCTCTCACTCACTTGCTTCTTGTTGTGGGGGTGTGAGTCAGTGTTTCGTGTCTTTGAAACAGAAGTTCGTGAAGCTTGCCCTATTGTGAGGACCAAATCGTCCAGGGGCAGTTGGAGAGTTCTGGTGACAGGAACTGAGATCTTGTGAGTGGGCAAAGGGGCACAGAGTTCCATCTTGGCCACAGATCTTGTGAATGTCACAGGACTCGGTTTCCTCATTTCCTTAGTGAAGCGTCAGAACAGAGCATGGTGTAGCAGAAAGAATAAGGATTTGAGGTCAGAGGGGCCAAGTTGAAACTGAATTCTATTCTACCTCTTACTAGCTGTGTAACACCAGGCAAGGCATTTTACCCCTGAGTATTGAGTTCATATCTATAAAAATGGGAATAATAAGTCCTATGCTAGAGCTGACCTAAGCCCCGACCCCCTGTAGGCTGGTGGAAACCCTGCTGAGCCCTGGGGTAGAGGCAGGAGAGGAAACCCACCTGCGCAGAACACACCCTTCACTCCACTTCTGAATAGCAGAACACGCACTTGCTGGTCCTCCCGCAGCTGGGACAGAGCTTCCAGAAGCTGCAGAGGAGACCTTGTCAGGTATCTCCCAGCCCAGCCCTAGCCCAGCCCCCACGCACCCTGGTGTTGCCCTTTCTCACCTCACGGACCAAGACGTTCCCCAGTGCATTGCGGGCACTTGGTCTGTTCATCAGAATCTCCGTGATTCCTGCAGGTGACAGAGCAGCCTTGGGTGAGCCGCCTGGCCTGCTCACTCCTGAGCTGGGGCCTGGAGGCAGCCGCCTGGCTTCTTGGCGACCTCTACCCTTGATGAGCAGTGTGACTTAGGGCAAGTCACAGACATCCAGGCTTCAGTTTCCCTGACCATAAAACGGAGAGAATAACCCCTTGCTCTTTCTGCCTCACAGAAGAAGTGGAAGGGCTTGCAAACCCCATGGAGCAACATGGAAAGAAGGACAACAATGACCACTGCGTTGGTTCCTGCCTGCTTCTGCCATTATGATACCCACACCCACCAGGTGAGTCAGGAGGGCTTTCACATGTTCATCTGCCCCTTCTTTCTTTCCACACCTCCTGTGTGCCTGCCTCTGGTATACCCAGAACTGCCCTGCATATTTGGCTAGCCCAGAACTCTCCCCTGAGCTCTAAGCCTGAATATACAATTGCCACTTCACATCTTGACCAATCTGTTAAAAAAATGATCAGTCTTTTCTCCTGTTCTCTTTGTGAGCAAATGATCTATCAACTTAGAAGTCAGTTCTGTAGCTCCCTCTTCCTCACCCATGGAATTTACTCAGGCTCCAATGCCAGTTCAACATCTTAAATACATCTCAGATCTTTCAGCTAATATCCCTCCTTGCAGCCAGTAAACTGGTATGGGCTCTTCCCTCTGCTTTATGGATCACCCAAAATTGGCCCTCCTGCCTTCAGTCTTACTCCCCCTCCCTACTCCGTATTCATTCCCTCATTTGGGTCAGGGTCCTCTTTCTAACCCAAATCCAACTATGTCCCTCCCTTTCCCTTTACACCAAAATTAAGTCAAATTCCTTAATACCACCCAAAGATGCCCCCCTTTCCCTAACATGGCCATCGAATCCCACTCTGGCCTCAACTCACCCCCTCCAATCTAGGCCACTTGTAGGGAAGAGAGACCAGTTCTGGGCAAGGGCTCAAATACTCTTGTACCTTCTTGGCTGTATCCCCTCCTGTGTTTACCCATCCTTTGGCCTTCAAAGACCTGTTATTATTGTCCCCCAAGGTCCTGAGCCTTGTCTGTGAAATAAGCAGTATTTATTAAGATGGCATTTTCAGTGTGAGTTAATCTGAGACACAGGGAAGGGACAATAAAAGTTTTGGGGCTCTCAAGGGACAGGGTTCCCAGTCAGGAGTTAGAGAACTGTAGTTCAAGACAGAAATCTGTAACATTCAGACTAGGTGGGCTTCCTTAGCCTCCCCAGAAACCTTCAAAGAGTTCTTTGAGCCCAACAGGTCTGGAGGTCCCACAGAACTCAGATGTCCCCAAGGTCTTCTCCAGCTCTGGTGCTCCATGAAAGAAAATGCTGCAACTCTGGGGAAGGGAAACTCTGGTAGAGACAAAGAAACCACATCAGAGGGATTGAGGAAAACCGTCTAGAGGTCCAAAATCTTTGTGGCAGATAGACCCTAGAGTGGGCCCCATCTTCATATCCTCAATAATCTCCTTGCCTGGAGTGTGGGCAGGGCCATGTGAATGGCTTCTAACCAACAGAATACAGCTAAGCTCATAAAATGTCATTTCCAAGATTAAGGTTTAATGATATGGCAGAGGTGATGAGATATCCGTTCCATAATTAAGTTACAATGTATATAAGGCTCTGTCTTGCTAGGACACAGTAGAGACACTAGTGGACCTACAGAGAGGGTCATGCGGCAAGGAACTATAGACTTGGCAAGGAATTACATGCGGAGTTGCTGAGAGAGACCCCCCAGGCCAACAGGAAGAAAAGAGGTCTTCAGTCCCACAACCACAGGAAGTGATTTCTATCAATGGGAGGAGCTTGGAAGCAGATCTCTCCCTAGTCAAGCCTATGATGAGACCATACCCCTGGCCAGTTCTTGGATTGTGGCCTTGTAAAATGCCGAAGTAGAGAACCCAAATACATTGTGCTTGGACTTCTGATGTACAGAAACTATAACAAATGTGTGTCATTTTAAGCAATAAAGTTTGTGGTAATTTGTTATGTGGCACTATCCTGATAGATAGAAACTTTCCTCTATCCTCTTCACTTTCCTGTTCCGTCTTTCCTTTTTTCTGGCTGACTCTCTCCCATGTTTCATCTTTATTCCCTCTCTCCATCTTTATCTCCTTCTTTCAGAATACAAATGGGGTGCTTGTCTCATGTCACAGTTTAGTCATATACTAGTTCCATTGACCTTGGGCAAGTTGCTTTACCCTCTGGCTTTCAATTTCCTAATCCGTAAATAGAAATAATAAAATGGGGGCCGCTTGGGTGGCTCAGTCGGTTAAGCGGCTAACTTCGGCTCAGGTCATGATCGCACGTTTCTTTCGTGAGTTCGAGCCCCATTTTGAACTTAGGGCTGGGTGTGAAGCCTACTTAGGGAAAAATAAGTTCTCTGCCAGTGACCAGCGGGAACTTTCTCCTTTGACTCAAAAGGGCGCAAAAGTCGGCCAGCCACAGCAGAGCCAGAGCGCAAGGAGACTTGCCCAGCTCTTTGCTCCTCCTCTGCTCTCCTCCCTTCTCATTATTCCCGGCATGGCGAACCCGATCGGCTCTGCCGCCTCGGCCCTCTGGAAACTAGCCAGGACTCTTGGCCGAAGGGACAGAAGGCCTTTTAAAGTTACTGGTATGGAAGCGGTGAGGGGTGGGGGGTGCTGGCGCTTAGTCCTATCACTGAGCGAGTCCCCGCCCCTAGAGTTCCATCGCAATTAGGGCCCAGGCGGCTAGTAACGTGGTCACCCACCTCCAGGGCCTTAGGAAGGCTTGGGGAGCCTTGACTGGGAAACTGCACATTCGGGATCAAATCCCTAAACGCAGGGAGCAACCCGCCTTCCCCCTACTGGTCTGTGTTTCTGTATGTAGTGGGCGCTCTGGCCATGGTTTCGGACCCGTCCGGTCGCAACAGCGCCAGGAGTCCGGTTCGGACCCGTCCGGTCGCCTCCTGGGCGCTCCCGCGACAGCGCACTTACCTTGGTCGGGACCCGCCAGGGAGCGCACTTGGATCTCCGGGTCCGCAGCCGCCCCATCGGAGGCGCAGCTGCGGGTCTGAAGGGATCTCCAGGGACGTGGAAGGCGCCGGACACTGGTCAGGGCTCGCAGCATCTGTGCGCAGGCTGGGAAGGTGCCAAGGGCCCCTCCACGGCTCCCTCCTCTCTCACTGAGCTTGCAGCCGCGCTCCCAGGTTTCTGCAAACTGCTCCACCTATGGGCGGAGAGCACAACGCGGTCCTTTGTGCCTCTTGCCTCGTAGAGATCTGGCCCCCCGGCTTGGTAAAGCCCAGCTCCACTGTGTGATTTGGGGCAAGGATGTTAACCTCATTAAGTGTCAGAGTTTTAATCAGTAAAGCGGGGATAATAATAGTGACTACTGTCAAAGATAAAGGGGGAGACTAATTAAAGTAGTGAGAACAGATAATGTACTACTGCAAATGGGAAGTGTCCTGTGTGAACTGAACTCAACTTCCACTTGTACAGAGGTGCCTGAGAATTTTAAAGGAAGAAAGAGAAATAGGTTCACAAGTGAACCGGGCTTGTGAAAAACTAACAAAAATCAGGAAAGGCATTTGGCTACATGAAACCCATCTGGGTTAGCTATCCAATCTCAGGCTTATCCAACCTTAGGCTCCCACAGAGACTGTGGGTCACAGGCAGGGCTGGGGTGGGGGTACTGTCTTCAGGTGTTGGTTGGAACAAGCAGTAAATTCTTTTGGCAGTGCTGACCTTAAAAATAAAAGCTATTTCACCAGAAAAATAGGTTTAGTTGGGAATAGCAGAGAATTGCAATTTGGGACAAACAAGCCACAGGAAAAAACAGGCTAGTCTCACAGGGGAAATCATATTTTATGGAGAAGTTCAGAGGGGTTTTTTAAAAATGTTTATTTATTTTTGAGAGAGAGAGAGGGAGACACAGAACCCAAAGCAGGCTCCAGGTTCTGACTATCAGCACAGAGCCTGACACAGGGCTTGACTTCATGAACCATGAGGTCATGACCTGAGCTGAAGTCAGATGCTTAGTCAGCTGACTGAGCCACCCAGGCAACCCAGGAGGGGTTGTTTTAAAACCAAAACCCATTGGAAAAAAGCAAGAGACCAGAATGATCACAGTTTCTCATCGGCTGAGCTCCTTACCTACTGGATTTCTTCTAGGAAATACAACGTACATCCTCTCCTGTTGGGTCTATAATTGACAATTCTTCCTGTACTTGATATCTAGTGGTATGGCATGAGAGCTTCTCCTTCTGGCCTCTGGACTGCATTTTAGTGAGGGTTTCCTTTATTAATTTCTACAGCTGGCTTAAGTTTTCTCCTCTAAGCACTCTAAAGGGGCCTAGGGTCATTTTAGGAATGTGGCCTTGAGCTGCTAGAAACTATGTTAGTGTTTAAGTCGCTGTAGGCCAAGGTTGAAGCCTAGTAGAGAAGTGGGCTCAGAGGAGCATAGCTAGAGTTTGGTCAAGAAGAGAATCTTTGTCACTGTGTCATAGTGGTATTATGATGATTGAATGGGTGTGTGTGTGTGTACCTTGTTTGTTACTCCTTTTCAAAAATGTCATTTCATTTATTCATTCTGACATTGTCTACATTCATGGACTTCACTGCCTCATCTCCCAGTTACTCTTCAATCATCCTAATTTTATGCTCAATAATCAGATGGCAAAAATATTTGTGAATGTGAATCCCCAGCCTCTGCCCCTACTATCCACCCCAAACACTTTTGCAGAGGCCATCAGTGGCCCTGTTTAGTTTACCCAGCATTTCTGGGTGTTTCTTGGCACCAGAATTTTTTGACTATCTAGTCCTCCATATCAGAAATGGAAATGTTCTTTCCCAATCTTTTCAGCATTAACAACAACTGTTATTATCTTACTAGTCCCTCTCCACTTCCATGGACTCCTATTTTGAAACCAATATCCAGTGGACAGCTATTATTTGTTACATAATAATTAATCTGGACCCTGTGACTTTTTGTTCTCTTGGGTTGGTAACCCTGTTTTATCCACCAATCACATTGCTGTCTTTATTGGCTAATCAGAGTTTCAAGAAACAACTCAACATTAAGCAAAAGACTCTTTGGTGCCTTGCTTTGTGCTAGGCTCTAGGGATAGGCAGGATAGGGAGAGATTTTTTGTGTCTTTTCTGAGCAGCTGAGAATTTTACGAAATTGACCTAGTCCTAGCCCAGTGGTTCTTTACCTGACCCAATAGGGGCTCCTTAGAATCACCTGGAAAAATCTTGCTAAATATTGATGCCTAGGCTTTACTCCCAGAGGCTCTGTTTCAGTAGGAAATGGGGTCTGGATATGGATGTTTTGAACCTATGGTGATTTTTATTGGAGGTGACATGGTGGGTATAATTTGTATATATATATTTTTTTAAATCTGTATAATTTCTATAAGGCTTTTTGAAATAATGAAAATAACCTGTGAAATCTAGGTCCATTTGGTTCAGTTTCCCTCCTGGGGTAAGGCTGCCTCCTGTAATATCCCTGAGGCTGAGCAACCTCAATTTGAACATATCCCTTCCCCCAAAGATAGGAGACTCAGCCCTGACAGAGGTGCACAGCCTCAGAACACCTTTGCTTGCCTCCAGGTTCTTCCTTTGGTCTTTCCTTGTAGCTGCTTTGTTTCCCCTCCTGCCCAATGGCTCCTCAACCAAGTAGTTTCTGCTCAGTGAACACCTGGCCTTGCAGTCTGAGGAACAATTATAGGAGGTTTCCTAGAGCGAGTGACCTTCCAGCTATTTTGATGGTTCATGTCATGGGGACCTACAAAGGGCTCTTATCACAGACCCTTAGGACAGAAAGGGCCTCGAGTTTTATACACACACACACGCATACACAGGTCTCATTTTTTTGTGGTAGTTCTAAAAGTTGCTGTGAACATTAAATTAGTGGGTACTGAACCATTGCTCCTAGGAAAAATATAGAATTAGGTTTCTGCAAGCCTCTGGTTTTGTCAGCCTATCAATACATAACCTTCCTTATTTTATGTTTCTGTTTAAAGGCACCTTATTTAATATATATTGATTCATTAGCATCAAACTCAAGCCCAATAGCACTATAACTCATGTCAGAACTAAGTTTATTTAACACCTATTTTTTTAAACACTTATTTTCTTCATAAGGCACATCACATCCTTCTTGCACTTAGGAACATTAGACAGCACATCAGGCACTATGTTTGTGTGCCACTTTAAACAGCAAACACACACACACAAAAGCACAAAAACATGAAAAATGTGGCACCATGTAGATCATGAGACGGACACTCATTTGCGGCAGGAGAACTGACACAAAAAGGCAGACAGGGCCTGGTATTGTTCAGCCTCAGCTGGGAACAGGTGCACGGGGCAACTCAAATTTATTGCCATCTGAAGAACTCTTTATGTGTTGATTTGGAGTTATAAATAAATTTTTGGAATTAGACAAATTTGCGAATGTAGAATTAGCAAATTAAAATCACCCTACACGTCTATATATATTTCTTCTATTAAGTGCTAAGGGTTTTGTTTCTGTCATTCCTTTCATCCTCACAAAACACCTTATGAGAAAGTGTGTTGGTATGTTAAGATTTCAAATTCACTTATGACTTAAGTGCAGTTGTTCTGACCTAAGGGTGAACTTTGGGAGGCCATGTGAGGATGACAGCAGCAGATTTGTGCTACTGAGTGCTTACAGATAGGAACATATGGAGGAGCAACTATGATATAATGGACATTTAAACTTTGAATACCAAGAATTTATGAGGACTTACTGAGAATGTCCCAGTTGGGCAAGGCTACTTTTTGCTGATCAAAATAGATCTCTAAAGATCTTGAGACACTTGCTCCTGTGGTGGCCAGGCTACCCTTGGTCCTGAGTGGTGTTCCAGGCACAGTGGTTTGAGGGAGAGGAAGACTTCTGTTCTGCCTTGGCAAGGCTACTCTTTCTAGGTAGTGGTCAACGCGGTGCTGGCTAGCTGTGTGCCCCAGCTAGGAACCTAAGCTGGCAGCTGATTCCCAACTTAGTTGGAAGGATCAACTCATAGAAAGTACATCACAACTAAACGGACTTTATTTCATCTCCCTTTTGCCTGGAACTATGATCTAGTTAACCTATCTTTGGTTTGGAATGTTACTTCTTTATGAGCTTATTAAGAGACGTTAACCTGTATGCTACTGGCTTGTGAAATATTACTATTTTAAATTAGAATCCCTACAGCAAATCTGTGCTAAATAAACTACCGGCAAAGACAAAGCTCAGTTTCTGAGCATAATTTGAGGGAACAAAACAAGAGTGATTCAGAGATTAACAAGGAAGGTACGAAGCTAGTAAATGAATTTTGGTTGTTTTAGACATACAGTAAAATACTCCCCATACCCTTGTTGATGTACAGCCCTGAGTTTTTACACTTGCACTGACTCTTCGAAGTAGCAACAGTAACAGGGTAGAGAACAATTAGAACACTCCGAAAAATTTTCCTCAGGCTACGTTTTTGTCAGTCCGGTTTCCTGCCACCCTCTGCTCTCAGTCTCAGGCGCTACTCCTCTCATCATAGAGAGCGTAAACCCCAATGGCTGTACTAGGTTATAAAGCTTTTTTCCGATGTGCGATGTGGACTCAGATTCCCACCCGCTTGTAAGCCGGGGACCAGAACTTCGCTCACAAAGAACTGCTTAATACTTCCCCGAAAACACTCTCACCCGGCGCCTCGGCGCACGCGCAGGCGCCCTTCTCTCTCCCCCACCTTACGTCGCCGGAGCGTGCTCCCACCCCAACCCCTTACCGCCTCCGGCCCCGCCCCGGCTCTTGGGGCTTCACCGGCGTCGCTGCGGCTTCGGTCTGTGCCCGCCCGCGTCAGCCGCCTCAGACCCGCTAAGTCCGCCTCCGCCCGGCACAGTCTGCGCCATGCTCCGCGCCGCCTCAAAGCCTTGGTCCGGGCGCCGGGTGTTCGTGGTGGGGGTTGGGATGACCAAGGTAAACAGAGCCGCGGACCCCTTCGCTCTGTCCAGGAGAGACCCAGGAGTTGGGGGGGGGGGGTGGGTCCGCGAAGTGACAGGGGCACGGAGGGCAAGTCAGGGGCCTGGCGCTGTCCGGCGGTTTGTCTTTCCTCCTCCGGAGGGTGCCCCGGCTACCCCACTAGTCAGTTCCGGCTTCTTGGCTCTTGGGGCACGAGAGTGGCGACTCGGAGGGGTTGCGGGGTAGGTTTGTCTCTGAGGTAT